GTTCCCTGCCAGAAGCAGAACGGTTTGAGCTAGTTATACCTTCAGCAGGGTTCGGGGATCTTTTCCTTTCCTTTCCTTTTTTTTTAATTTTATTTTTTTTTTTTTAATTTCCCGCAACTACTCCCAAAAGATTCAGTATAAAAAGAACCTGTTACAGAATGGCCTCTGGAAATGAACAAGGCTCCAAATGATGGGCTTCTGGTAGTGAGATTTTTTTGATCTCCAAGACAAAAGTGAGTATAGAACAAATGGTATTCAGGAAACCTTCTTTTTCCTAGTGAAAAACAATCCCTTTATCTTTCCTGATCAGAGTAGCCCATAGTATCAGGAAAGATACTATGACCAAGCAAGAAAAGAGGGGAGCGAGTGTGTGTCAAGAAATAGATTCAAGAAAAAGGATCAAAAATCTCTTTTCTTGCTTATAAAAATCTGTATCAAAAATATCTTTTCTTGCTTATAAAAATCTGTATTTTTTTGTGGGAAATGTGCATATCTTGGAAAGGAAAAATGCAGACTTCCAGACAAGTGATATAAGGCCAGCTTTACAAAAAACATGTGAGTGCTTCTGTGGGTATGGACTACTGGCTAATGTACATACTGTTGTCTAATTGCATTGGTTCATTTCTATTCAAGTAAATCAAGGTGGTGTTCAGTACAGATCTATCAAGCATCCCTCTGGCAGCTTGAGTGCTCTTCAGAAATCTCACCAGGTACCTAAATAGCTATGCAAATCTCATCTCAAGTATTTAGTTGCTGCATTCCCTGCTCAAAATGCAACTTAAACTCTGTCACCTTTACTTTCTAAGAATACAACACCAGCATACAAAGCAGGCCAGACACTGAACTTTACAAGGCTGTGAACCTATGCCTTGGTACCTCACCTGGTACTACTTCTTAACATTCTGAAGGTCCCAGTTTCTCACACACTGCCACTGCAAAGCTGTGAAAATTCAGGTTGGCATTTGATCCTTCATGAAAATAGCCAGGCTTGTGAATAATCCTGTATTTTATCAGTGTTAGTCCTGGGTAGCTGTGAGTGCTAAGCTGTGAGTGCACAGTAACAGAGTGTGGTACAGCACGTGCCTGAGAAGCCTGGTGAAAGGACAGGCTATAAGTGTTGCTGAAAAACAACAACACATTTAGAGATGTATACACACAATAAATATAGGCTAAGCTGGTTTTATTATAGAGATGTGCTTAGCATTAAGGATGCCTGCACAGCATTACCATGGCTCTGCTGTGAGACAAGACACATGGTAAGAGCAAATTGATTGTAAAACTCAGGTTGTCCCTCTTCTTCTTCCTTGTCCAATCTTTACCCTGTACTTTTGGCTCCCTGACTTGCCAAGCCAGTCCCACTAAATCTGTACCAGCTCATTCTGACTCTCCTACTTTCCTTCCCTCCTTCCTTCCTATCTGGTTCTTACTTCCTACCCAACGCCAAATCTCATCACCCCTGGTGTTTTAGCTGTACTTTGTCTTTTCCTTCCCTGACTTTCCATCAGCAAAAGCAGTGAGAGCAGCGATGTTCGTAGCATTCAAGATGGATGCACAAGGGCAAAAACCCAAGTATGCTTGTTTAAGCTACAGTGAAATTCATCTGGGCAACATTTTGTTGACATTTAAACAGTCTTGGCATCTTCAGGCACAAAGATAACACAACCACTCCCAAAGAGCAGAGAGGGATCCATGAGGCATGCCCAGGCTGCCAGCAGGGCTGTCAGCATCATTTAGAGAGGCAGAGGCTGAATGGGAGGCATGGCAGCAGGATGCAGCATGCCTAAAGGATGCTGAAAACTCTAAAATATTGGAGATAATTTTATGTTAAAAAATAGATTGTAAAGCTTCGTGATTTATGTTGTGTAAAGCCTAAGAAACCCAAGCCAGCCATGAAAGAAACACCATGGCTTACAGGCTGGGGATGAGAGTGCAGATGAAGCTGGGAGGATGAGACTGATAGCAAATGTTTTCCTCACATCTGGGCAAACAATCTCCAAGTTCCCTAAAACACCACAGACTGGTCAGAGGAGAAAACACTGAAGAAGAGAGCTGAGATTTCTCAGTAGAGGCTTAAACTGGTTGTGTTTGTTTTCCCCAAAACAATGCAGAAATGAACCTTACTATGAACCTTACTATCAGGGCCAGCCTGCCTCTGATCAAAGGATATAATGAAAATGGAAAAGGCAATGAAGCTATAGATGTCATGTCACTAGCATTTGTACTTTCTCTTTTAAAAATTAACTATACTTCTCAAAAAAAAATCCAAAAAAAACCATTTCAGAACATCTCAGAAAAAAAATCTTTGTTAGGGTTAAGAGGAGCATTCCATTTACTCCTCTGCTCTGCTTGCCATATAGGTCTGTTTCAAAAAAAAAAAAAAAAGGGGAAAAAAATCTTAGCTCTGACATGCATGGGAAAGCCCTGAGGAGCTACAATCTCTAGAATACCCAAATAATTACTATATTGAAGTTTAATGCCTGCCTCCAAATAAAGCCATTTGACAGTCAGCTTATTCTTCACTAATGTCATGTTCCCACCCTATTTCAGTATCTGTGCTCCAAACTTTATTAGAAACATTTTTTTTCTTTAACTTGAAAATAATCACACTGATTTATGCTCCAAGAAGCTGGCCAGAATCCAGAAAGACATCCAACAACCAGCCTTTAACTTAATCTGTTCCATCATGAAATGAGTTAGTGTTTTTTAAAATATTATTAATGATTACAGTCAATAACAAAAATAATACAAATTTTAAAACTTTCATATGATCGGGAACAACAGAGAATTGAGCAACTGTACTATTAATGACAAACCATTTGAAATTACTGAAAAACAAGAGAAGACTCTACTCCTCTAACACAGGAATAGAGTCTCATAACACATAAATCATACACAGAATAAGGACAGGGAAGTTATTACAGTCAGTAGCACAGAACTTGATTAATCCAGGTTATTTCTACCTGGGTGGTAGCCATTAGAAGTTGGGTATCTAATCTAAACTAGTCATCAAGGCTCCAGTGTGCAATGGAGAGAAACAGGCACTCATTTCAGCAAGAAGCAATTAATTCCATACTGAAAGTATATATAAAAGGTGACTGGCATTAATTGCTCTCTGGAAATACTTACTCTTGTCTACACAATTAGTTTAGACTAAACATTTAACTCCAGGACAGCTAGAAAGGCATGAAAAAATATTCTACTCCCTGAGCTCAGACTGAGATAACTCTCCCAGTTTGGGGACAACTGCAGAGCCTTCAGCCAAACTGTGCTTCACACCTTGTGCCCCAAACCTTGGCACTGCCTGGTGGTGAAGCCCAGTGAAGGCAGTGACCCTTTGCTGAGCCTGTGGGACAAAATACCAGCTCAACATGATTGTAAATGCAGGCAAACCCAGTGGGAAGAAATGATGATGTCCAACTCCAGTTCAGAAGGCTGAATGATTTCTTTATTATAACTATGCTATAATACTTTAATATACTATATAAAGGAAGATACTACAACCACCTACCTACTTTTCTAACTACCATATCTAATGCACTCACAACTCGTGACCCTGTTCTCAAGAGTTCACACACAGGTGGATTGGATTGGCCATCAGGCTCAAACGATCCTCACCAGAATCCAACCAAGTAATCACCCCAGGTAAACAATTCTCCAAGCACATTCCACATGAGAAAAACAAGGAGCAGAAATAGAAATTGTTTTCTCTCTTTCTCTCTGTGCACCTCTATGAGGAATCCTGAGAGAGAATGAAATGTGCTTACCACAAACATTACCGCAGCCCCTGCACAGACTCTTCCCAAGAAACTCTTTCTGCCAATACAGCCAGTTACTAACCAGCTTCAAACAGCAGAAGTACTAAAAAAATCACACAGATTGATGTTCTCTGATTTTTCTGAACCATGTCATATATTCCTGCAGATAATAAGCTTCTCTTTAATGACAAATGGGGACTACATTAACTTAATGATTTTTAAAGGTGTTTTTGACAGGTTAATAACATTGCTGACACTTCCATGGGGAATGACTTAGTATCAACTGGTTCCAGTCCTTGGTAATTAATCTACAGGAAACAATATAACCATTTTACAGTATTATGTTTCTATAATTCTATAAAATATTTTTATTAATGCATCAGTAACAGTTAACTTCAGAAAACAGCATCTATCTGGTGTTACATAAAGAATTAGTTGTGACATCCTCACTGCATTTACAATGCTTAGTTTGGAGCACCAAGAGTTAGATAAGTATCCTGAAAATCCTACTTTTCCAAACAGCACAGGTCATTTTGACATTTTAAAAAAGGACTAACTTACTAGGCATCTGAGCACAGTGTAAATTAACTAAATGTGTTGAAGCACATCCAGTCACAGCCAAGGGTGCCAGCTCAGACACCAGGTACCTCTACTTCCAGGTTTTGTAACATGTTTCTCAAGATTCTTGTTTTTCTTAAAGAATTGTCCTCTGAATACAGAGGCATGCAACCATCACTAACTTCAGCCTTACTTAAGCTTCTTTGATTTGCTTTCAACCATGACACATACTCACTTTGTCCTTGCTTTTGTTCTCTAAAGCAGTTTATAAAACTTGAAAAGAAAAGGGGTGCTTTGTATCATATGGAAAATAACTGTGCTGTAAGGAACAATACCAAGGCTGAAAAGCCTAAAATTAGACCTGCAAGCTTTGCTTTCATTGGCAGCGATGTGTGAACATTCATATTGTCCCAATCCCACATTCTACCTCTTTATTCTTGCTAAACACACTACTTTCTGTAAAACACTGAAGTTTAAAATTAGCAAACCTGTCTAATTCAAGGGTATACTGACCTTGGTGATGGGCTAGTTTGATCACCTTTAGACCTTAATAGTGAATTACAAGATCAGCTATTTTCAAAAGAAGCAAAGAAAAAGCACTTGGAGAACAAAAAGCTGAACATCTCTGAAATGGTGGCTGGAATAATACTGCTCGGTTTTTGGTTTTTTTTTTTTTTTTCCTCCTAAGAAAACTCAAAAGTGAATCTAATAGCTGTATTTTTGCTGAAAGCAAGCTAGTGAGGAGATATGCACTGTATAAAGTTCCTGGGGCTGGGGAACGTGGGACTTACAGGGATAATTTAGTCATAACAGGGATAATTTAGTCATAACAGGTTAGCATCTATGATATACCCATTCCCTTCTCAGCTGCACTCATTCAGTTCCCACTGCAGTCAACAGGGGAGACAAATAAGAGCAAAGTGTATTCAGAAGGTCAAACTTTGTGGATTTTCAAGAAAGCCACAGAGAGGCTAAAGTGAAACCAATGCTCTCTACTGCCTTAAGTATAATTCAAGCAATTGCTAGTGCAGTGTTTATTTTGAGTGTCTCCTTGTGGAATTTCAGGATAAAATATGAGACTGGCGGTGAGCCTGAAGGGGGTATAGTCAGAGCAGTCCAATTTCAACAGACTATCAAGATGAACTGTGGGGAGTTGTTTTACAGGTTTATGGCTATAGCTCACTCTGAAGCAGAGTGTTATTAATATTTGTAGAGCACTATGATATAAATAGCAACACTACATCCACCACCTAGATACCTGTGGTATGCTCTGACAGAGCACTTTTTAAATAACCAAATACCATTAAATGTGCCCCAAATGCTATACTTGAGAAAGGATATTAGATAGAGACATAATGCAACAGTTATTTATGCATCAAAAATGCTGATGCTAAAATGCAGCACTAACATTAGCAGCCTTAGGCACTAACTCCAGGGTGATTTTCTGTCAGAAACCAGAATTAATTCTAACACTGTTACAGCACAAGGAGCCAAATAGTTTCTTGGAGTTAGGACCAGTGGAAGCCTAGATAAAGCTGGTCCTGAACTGTATTCAGTGTTTCCCATTGGAAAATCTGTGGCCATAAAAAGTAATGTTTTCAAAGTAAGACAAAGAGCAGCTGGAGAATACTATTTACTTCATCACACTGATCTTGTCAGTATTTCCCAATGTTTCCTACACCCTGGAAACAGTGTAGGCTGTCCGTCAAGCTTTGCTTACCAGCAGCGAGCTCCACGGGTCACATGGTGGCATCTCAGACAAAGCTGAGCTTTTGGAAAAAGAACGGAGGCTGACTGTGGCACTGAGACAAAATGGAGATGTTAACCTCCAATTAACCACCAATTGCCTCAGGAGCAGCAAGGAAACCCTGAGAAAGGTAAATACACCTTTCTCAGGAGCAGGGAGTTTTGTCTTAGGTCCAACCTCAAGATGAGGTAATTTCTTCCTGGGACAACCCTTCTTTTGTGCCTAATAAAGCCAGGTAATTGCATCCTGGATTTTGTGGGTAGGAACATGATGTGCAGCAAGACCATTTATGGAGCTGTGGCTTTAGTCTCAGGCTTAGCTTTCTATTCTCACATATAGAGAACTAATTTTATTTCCTTGGTAACTGAATTTTTCAAGTTTCTGTAATTCCTTCAAACATTTATAATGATTTAATCATCATGAACATGCCTATACTTGAACAATAGTTTAAATTAAAATTGGTAGTAGATATGAAATACACAAGGCATTTCTGAGAAATTCAACGTGACAAGTCTCATTCCTTCCTTATTCTTCAGAAAAACATCTTTTTAATACAGTTATGTTTCCAATGAATAATAATCCCCTACAGTAAGAGTACTTATACATGGAACCATCTTGGAATAGCATTTCCCAAAGAGCATCTGGAACAGGAGAACTTCTCTTTGCTATTCACTTTACTAAAAAAATGTGGGCTCTCATTTTTCATAGAACCATATAATTTGGCTTGGAAGAGACCTGAAAGATCATCCAGTTCCACCACCCCTGCAATGGCCAGGGACAACTTTCGCTAGACCAGGCTGCTGAAAGCCCCATCCAGTCTGGCCTTGAACATTTCCTGGGCTGTGGCACCTACAACTTCTCTCACCATGCTCATAGTGAAAAATCTGGTGTGGGCACAGCCTGCCAGCATGAGGTGTGAAAAACTAGTGGAAAATTTCTTGCTAACATCTAATCTAAACCTGTCCTCTTTCAGTCTAAAGCCATTACCCCTTGTCCTATGACCCCATGCCCTTGTAAAAACTCCTTCTGCAGCTTTACCCCTTCTGGTACTGGAAGGCTGCTATAAAGCCTCCCTTATAGAAGGTATAAAATACACAGACCTAGATTCCAACAGTAATAAATTTCATATTATTTATTAATTGTTATAATGGATTACCAATAGTAGGATTCTTTACGGTGAGGGTGGTGCACAACTGAAACAGGTTGCTCAGAGAAGTTGTGGATGTCCAATCCCTAGAAGAGTTCAAGACCAGGCTGTATGGGGCTTTGAGCAACCTGGTCTAATGGAAAGGTTTGTTCCACTCCAAAACATTCCACACTGGCAGGAAAATTACCACATAAAAATAATCAAAAGAGTTAAAGATTCTGCACTGAGCTATAGAATCCTTTTTAAAATATTTAAATTAAATTAAATTAAATCTACTTTAAAAGAATCCCCACAGATCCCTATGTCCCTACACAAGCTATGCAGACTGGTGCTGAATATTTTATAAATCTATGTACTCTATACAATACCATATGGTAGATTTGCAAATTCCTCCATGAACAGTGTAGGTAAATGTAATTTAGGCTCTCCCAGAACCTACTTACAGAGCAGAGGTAATGGCACAATATCCTGAGTCTTGTGTGTGACCCAGACAAGCACAAAGCTTTTTACCCCAAGGTTCACACAGACCTCAGGAAAATGCAATGTTAAACTTGTGACCTGGGCAGAACTGATGTGGGATGTTTATATCTTAGGGAAGAATGGGTCATTATTCAAGCTGTCTGTGCAGTCTTCAGGTTTGCACTGTCTTGGAGGCGCTTCATGGGAGGTGCCAGCCGTCACTAACTGGGGGGGCAGAGGTGACCTGCACTGGATTTCAGAACTGCCCCAGCTCCTGGGCTTGTCCCCAGCACAGCTCTCCCCAGCCTGCCCAAGGCACACACCCGGTGCTGGCTGGCTGTGCCCACACCAGATGCAGAAACAGGACCTCAGCAGCATCCTCTGTGCTTCACTCCACACCACCTACTTCCCAGCCAAGAAAATATGTATTCCAGTCAAAAGCAGTCTAGACATAAGGTAATATATGCAATACAGATGCACAGGAGATTATTTCTGACACAAAACTCAAAGAAATAATCTGATAAACTTAGGAGAAAAAATTGAGATAGGTTGAGTAAGCTAGTGACTACATTTCTATCATAATCTTTTTAAAAGCTACTTCATCTGCTCACCACAGGAAGAGCTGCTTGCCACTTCCCACCAGCCTATTCTGCTTTTCCACTACTAGCAGCTTGTTTTGATTTTAGCTGAGTGGAAGACAGATATGGAAAGTCCTTGCAGGAATGCCAGAGTGCAGGGAGCAACCTTGCCTCCTAATTGATGCAAGCTGCCCAGGAAGAGAGGCAGGATGATCATTTCCTCCCTGCTTGTTCATCTATTCCCCTGGGAACAAGTTATACTGCAGCGACACATTAGGGCATGTGCTGTCAAAGAGCTTCTGGCAGAAAAAATAAGTGAAGTTTCAAGTGACTGAGCCCTTTCAGCGAGCCATGGGATGCAGAGCTGTTAGCAAAGTCCCACTGCAGCTGAAGCATACATTTAAATTTTTCAGTGTGATAAGAAGTCCCATTCAATAGTCTACTGCAGGAGCAGAGTAAAAGTGGCAAGTTTGTTTGTTAAAAAAACAACCAGACTGTGTAGTTCTACTTTTAGAATACACACCTAAGCTGGAAAGTTTGCTGTCTGAGCTCCTGAGTCTGGATGTGCTGAAAAAAAATGTATAACCAACTCTTACACATGGCAAATCTTTTGTCTTCCATAATGTGGACTTGGAGAGCACTTAATAACAACTTGATGGAGCCTGATGGAGTTGAATTGGCTTATATCCAGCATGACTGGTGCTCAAATTACTCCATTTTTAAAAATACTTTGCCATAATAATAAATGGGAAGTAATGATCACCCATGGCTGGCCAAAGAAGCAAGGGATTTTTAAAAGGAAAACCAGAAAGAACACAACTTATGAACCATTCCACATAAAATACATACTTTTCATGTTCTTCTGCTCTAGTACTTTTAAAAACACTACTTTTATCAGGTATTGGACTTTACATTGTCACACCCATGCCCCTCTGAAACAAGGAAGAGTGGATAATAGCCACTCCTGCCAAGGTTTACTGCAGTGACAAATCTCAGGCACAACCTGTGGATTGGCAGAATGTAACTGGTTATTCCTGTTCTCTGCATTGTTCTGAGAAATCCTCACATTTCTCTTCATTCACAGTCAAACTGAGTTCCAGCTAATGCTAATGTCCAAGGCGGAAAGCTACAAAGCCTGTCTAAAATGGAATTTGTCTGTAGATTATAGAGCTTTACAATTTAGCTGTATGGTAAAAAGCACAGGGGTCAGACTCATGCTTCTTTCTAAAGGATAACTTCAAATGCAAATGAGAAACTGGTCTGACCTTATTTTTTCATAATACTTTGACAATATTGCATGCATATGCAGTGAGCATGTTGACACCTGTATTTTATGCAAAAGCCTAAAACGGAAAAATATGTCAAGTATTATGGCTTAACTAATAATTAAAACTGACATAAGAATTGCATGTAAATGCAATATAATGATGTCATTAATCCAGTGTAATTAAAAACCAGAGATAACAGAGAGGTGCACCTCCTCACTATCTACTTAAAGAGCCCAGTCTATGCTCTGCAGTTCACTCCTCATCAGATTTAGTCCAAGTGGATCATCATTATCACAACACCACCCAACAGATCTCACCAGCAAAAGCACAGGAAACTGGGAGACGTGTAAATACCTCCTTGTTTCCACTTCATAAACATTCCAAAATTAGACTGCTGCTGATACTAATGATTGAAATGTAAGGTACACAATATTTATTATTTTTATTACTTGTTACTTACTATTATTATTTAATAATTTTGTTAAATCTTTAGTTCATCAACTACACACAAGCTCCTGTAACAATTTATAAGGTCTTCCAATATTACTAAACTGCAATGTTCAGCTTCCTACCAAATACCTCAGAGAGCCAAGAGGAAAGACAAGCCCCAGGAATAGGTCAGAAGCAGATCACAGCTCTGCATTGCTCCCATTGCACCATGGGATGATTACACACCAATTTCAATCTGACACAATCCAGTTCTCCTGCCAAAAAGGGTTTATACTCTTCAAAGAACCATATTCACTTTTGGAAAGAACTCCTTACCCAATGTCTTGTGTATATCCCAGGATTTCTGTGGTCATGTGCAAGCTAGGTAAGAAAAAACTGGTCATGATTTTTTACACAGAAAAGGGAAAAAAGGGTCATTTGGGTGAGATAAACCACAAAAAAATAGGCCATAAAGCCCTGCCAGGAAAGGCTGGGTTGGGCTGGAAGGAGAGCTCAGCTCAAGCTGGTGCCATGGTGCCATGTTCCCCCTCCTGCTTCCAGAACAGACCACTGGGCTGGGGCAATCAGACACAGCCCAGACAGCCTGGGGCACACCAGTGTCACACCAGGAGCCCAACAGAACACTGCTTTCATCCAAATTTCTACTCCTGCACCTTCCTTCTTTTAAACCCCCAGATGTGGTCACTCCCCCTGCAAATCTTGTACTACTTGTCTCTGACAGAAGACAATCATGGATATGGGAATGACATCAGAACTGTGGGAACAACGCTTTTGAGGCAGACTGGCCTTTACTGATGTATGCCTTTGATATACTTAGAGGTGAAAAATTTACACAAGTTGCCAAATGCTTTTCCACCTTGACTAGTAACAACTAGGAAATGTTTGAGGCTTCGTACAGCCTCTTGAAATTTATCAGTGCTGAGCCCCTCCCATGACAGGAATTTCAGTTATAGCACTGTGGTCAAGCACCTGTGTGAAATAGGTTCTACAGTTTTTTGAGAATAAAGGTTTGGGATCCTGTCCTCTGCTTTGCCATCAATTCTCCAAAAGCTCTTGGACAAGGAATGTTTCTGCCTTCTGCATCATCATCACGTAATATTAAGTGAATGAAATCATGTTAAATTTTACAAATTTGCCAATACTGTAGTTGCCATATCCCATTCAAATCTGACATCAGCAGTCAAAAATTACATGGCACATAAATACAAATGCAAAACAATGAGCAACTTATCACATAAATTCTTCAAAATCAGCTCTCCAAACAGGTTTTTACTTCAGAAAAGAAGAATTTTTAAGAGCAGCTGTTCAGTCATAAGATCAATGAATCATATGAGAAAACATATAATGTCTTATGCAAATACTTCACATTTTATTTTCCAATCCTTCTCTCCACTTAGTTTCACGTCCCAAATGCCTTTAGATGAGCAAATTCCCCCACACCCACACACAGCTCACTGCCGGAGAGAGCCTGCACTGGGGGTGTTTCTGTGGTCATTTTTAGGAATTATATGTGACTGAAAACCATCTCAATTCTCCTTCCTTTTCTCCAACAGCTGCACCTATCACTCATCTGACACACAGCATACGAGAAATCGTCACAGCTCAGGTAGTCATTGGCATTTCAGTAGGAGTTTCCTCTGGGCACCTAACTCAGGTGCTTCTGCCCTAGCACAGTTCTGACACAGCTTGTCTGTCATTACATCAGAAGCAGTTCAGAGAAAAGCGGCCAGAATCAGATGGATTTATCATTAAATTCAATATTTCCTGCAAATTCAAATTTTCCCTGTGGAGATTTCTCACAACACCTAAAAAATCACAAAAAGTGGTGCATCTGTTAGTACTTTTCATATTAATCACCCTTTTTGTGAGAGACTCCATTCAGTGTTTCCTAGATGTTGACACCTTTGCCTTCTCCTATCTTCAAATGTTTTCCTGCTCCTTTTCCTCGCTCCCCTCCTCCTTTTTGATTCATTTAAAATGAATCTCCCCAGCACTGAAATCCTCACAGATCTGATCCTGCCTACATCTCTGACATGATTCATGATCACACCTTCTCCTTTTCCCTGAGTCTCGTCTTTAGGCTAAGAGCTTGCTGAACACTTACACCTACCTTTCCAGTCAGCTCTGTGTGTTCAAAGCAACAGATTCTCCCATGTATTTAAATCTAGTCACTCACAGACATTGTGGTGGTTTAGCATGTACTCTGCAGTATTCAAATCCATTCCTTGATCAAATGTTTTTCAGTAGGGATCAGACAGATCAGCTCAGAGAATGAGTCCTTACATTAGTATGGCCTTGGACTTTGGTCCAGTTACTTCAGGAAGGGATTAATCCAGAAATCTCCATTTCACATTTAACTCTACGGTAATTTTTTATAATGACCATCAAGCCGTCTTTTCATGTGTTCCTAAGGATTTCCTGATGTCAGCATTTGTCAGTAGTGCTGCTAATGCCACTGCCCACTGATGGCACACATTTCTTTTCATTGTACAACCACACGTAACTCACTTTTACTGTAATTTGAATTTTTAAAGCATGGCAAAGTAGCATAGCACAGTTGTGAGAAGGTGACTTTGCTTTTATAACTTGTGTGAATTTGCTACCTTTCTAGTTTGTTTGTTTCTTTCTCCCAGACTAAATGTTTATGCAAAAGTACCTCATTAGTCAAGTGCCCAGAGTGATACCACAACTTTGCCCATTCAGAACAAACCAAAAATGCTAATTTCTTCAAACTTCTTGAGGGTATTTTCAAAGGAAATCAGAAGCACAGGACTGAAGTGGCTGCAAGCTGCTGTGTAGGTCTTCGTAGACTTGAGAATCTCGTAAGTTAAAGTGATAAAATGCAGAGTTGGAAAAACAAGGAAATGTGTTAGGTGCCTCACACAGCTTCAGATGTTGAAGACCTGAATATATCAATACTGTCAACAGTAAATGGATGGGTTTACTGGGCAATACAAAACCTACAATCTCCAGCTATCTCTGTTACATACAACACCAGAACAACCTTGAACATTTCATGAACTCTTTCTTTTATCTGGAGATGAGCTGACATTGATATATTGTTATTGGTCTTCACTAATACACTCCTGTTGGCAACAGAGATGCTAGTAGCTGAAATGAGTCACATACTGCAAGACCTTGCAATCTATATGGAAAGAAAGTGCAATTTAAAAAATATCCGTCTCCTCCTCAGCTGACTGTGCAATGCAAGACACCCACTAAAACTCAAGTCATAGTCAGACAGTTATTTTTCATGTATTTGTAGCACAGAAGTTGCAGTGTTATTTTTAATTTTAAATTAACTAGCTTTAATTCACCAACATTAAAAAGGCAACACAAAGTAATGATAGGACCATTTGATACTGAAATAAAAATTACTCTTGTATTTTATATATACCATGGATTTCTCAAGCAACAATTCAGATCTTACACTGTTTTCATTTATTTACTGGTTGCACATTATGAAAAAATCTACAGTTGGTTACAAATATTTGAAGAAGGTAATAATCTAAAATAATGTAACTCACAAACAATAGAAGTAACTAGCCAACAGTTCTCTAGCTCATTTTCATCTAAAGAAAGCAAACTGCTTTGTAACTGAAACTGAAGGACTTGAAGTGGTAAGTTTTGTTAAGCAAATTGACAACAACTGTGTTAGATGATAGGTACATATAATAGAACTATTTATAGCATTATGCAGGAATAAAAACCACAGGGAATGTTATGATAAATTACTGTAACATTTTCAGTCTCTACTGAATCGTCTTACCCCAAAATTCCACATCACAGGAAAAAAAAAAACAGAAAGAGAAGTACATAGGCTGTGGATTTACAAGAACATCTTGGGTCTTGCACTGCGGTAGAGTTAAGGCACTGAAGAGAGCAGAAAAAGCAGAGACACACAGAAAGAACACAGCTGTACTCAACATCTGTTTACATTGTACTGTGACTTCTTACAGACTTCTCTTTGGAAGTGCCAGATACCTTGTCCATATCTAGAGATATCTATATACAAACCCAGCTGTTTAGGACATATTCAAGGGTATATCTACAGGGCAGCCCAAGAGCTGGAGAACAGAGTGTGCCTCAGCTTTCCACTCTGGCTTTGCCACTGTGACCAGCCCCATGGGGGGAAGCAGAACGAGTGTGATTGTACCTAATCAGCCCTGCAGGAGGCAAAGCCAGTCGCTGCTACCAGGCAAGGATTGGCTCAGTCACTCCATTCAATCTCTGCACACGCACCCTATCTTTCTGCACAGGTCATAGGCACAGTATGTATCTTTTATGTTAGAATTTTAATACAAGTATTTACCCTTATGGCATTCTACATACAGCTGCACTTTCTAGAACATATGCAACAGCCAGATTCTTGTTTTATAAAGCCCATTGTTTAAAAAACAAACCCAAAACCATAGCTAAAATGCAAGAAAAAGGAGGCATCCACCATGCTTAAACAAGCACAGCCAGCATCATCAAGGAGAGGGAGGCTCTTAGGCAACAGGAGATTTTGGAGCAGAATCAAAGACAGGAAGCAGAGCCAGAGAGGGAGGAAAAAAGGGATCAGTAAAAGCTAAGGATAAGATAAGACATGAGGCAGTTAGAACCTGTTGACACTTCATGATTACATTCTCATACAACAGAGTGGGAAGCCTGACTGAGTTATGTTCTCCTCTTAAACCATGTAGAAACAAGTGTTACTTACTGATCTGTGTTCCAGTAGCACCTCTTTGTGGCAGACACGTGAGAAAAATGTAAAAACATCACAGCCCCTTCTAACCCTCCTATTTTCCCAAAGAGGAATTAAAATGAATAAACAATAGCCATTTAACTAAATAGCTAAGAACTCACCCCGTGTGGAGGACAACTCTTGCAATCAAAACCTATTTATGACGAATGATCAAGGCTACTTTGTGGTTTTCTTACCACACCTGAGGAGGAAAAGGAGTCTTAGAAGCTACTTCTGGTTAAACACTTTGGCAATTCAGCAATAGTGCTGTATTGTTAGGATTTCACTGACAGAAGGAGGCAAGAATATTTATGCATATGGAAAAACCTGTTTGTGATTATTTGACTCTCTTTATTTAAGGATACATGATATAAAGTTTTAACAAGGTTAAACATGTAACATATTGATTTCATACTAATATTCTAAATTTTCTCATCACACAGATGGCAGGGACCAGATTCCGAGTCAACTGGAGCTCTTTGTTGAGCATTGTTCAACCTTACAATGTGGTTGATGCGACATATCCAAGCCAGATTAAAAAAAACAAACAAATAAAAAGACCTCAACTAAACAACAATATTTTTAAAAATCAACAAAAAACAACACCAAAAAAGCAGATGAAACTTTGTTAGACATTTGAAGATGCAGTCCTTCTGTACAAGTCAGTCTGGTTGGCAAAAATCATCAGTATCATCAGATGTTTCATGAATCAAACTAAAACCACTTTTCAGGCTATCAATTTTCCAAATTAAAAGTCTTTTATGCCATTTAAAACACAAATTTCAAGAACATTCACAGATTGTTACTCATTTGTATGCTTTTAAAAATGTATATTTAAAAGGAAAAATTGCTGCTTAAAAATAGTATATGTTCTGGTGTAATGTAAGATCATTGTAATAAAATTGACTGGATATGTGCTGGATGTTAACAATAACTGCACAAATAACTTTTTGCAGCATTTCCATTATATAAGCTGATTTTATTTTCAGAGCTAAAAACTTTTTTAAATGTTCACTTTCACTAACTTTAGAAAATCTTAACTTTTTCCTCTATATAAAACAACTTCTACTAAAAAAAAAAAGCATTTTAATTCTAACTACTAACTAATATCTCATATTTCATTCTCTAAGAGTCTTCAGTTACTTTGTATTTCTAAATATAGCAGATAAGAGTACAGAGAAATATGCTGTATTGGAAGATCTTTTATAAATAGTTTCTAATTTTAGACTACTCCATTCTGAATAAAGTCTAATTAAACCACATATATTCTCAAATGCAGTTCACAAAACGGATCATATTCATGTCTCCTCACTGCTATTTGATTCCATCTTACAGTGAATGACTTAATATCTACTTTTGAGTAAAAATGTTTTCTATAAAGTGGAACACTAAACTTTCATTTAAAAAAATAAAATTTCAGTAATATATAACCATTGTGAAATTATTTTCAGCTATTAAAATCAAGTCATAGGTACCCTACGCACACCAGGCTCAACAGTTGATCTAGTTAAGATTTTTTTTAACTGCTTTGGGGATTGAGTATTCAAGAACTTGTAATTAAGTCCAGAATTATCACATTTTAACACTTAGGATAATTAATTACTAAAAAACCTTAGTGAGAACAGAGATACATTTTCCATTCTCTATGATCTTTAAACCAAGAATGATTTTTTCCCCTCCCCCAAATTTGCATGTAAAAGGAGAGTAAAGGCATCACTGAGTCAAATGCTATGGCCTCTGCTAGGCATGGTTAAAATGTTCATTAATCTCCCTTGTAGATTCAAACATTTATGAACCTAAGAGCTTTCTTTTCTAACATACAACTTCCTATTTAGCTAGAAGTTAAAACTAATAAAAGTAATTTTCATCAAAAGTTTTGGGGCCTTATATTTATTAGTCTAAAAACTCTGTAAATTACTGTCACAACTTGTTTTCTTTTTGAGTATAAAGTTTGACTTGTACGAAGCTTGAGTGACCATAGTAATCCCATTGGTTGATATTATATTGGTTGATTCAACTCATTAGAAGTTAAAACAAAAGATACTACTTTTTTATGCCTAACTACTGTATGAAAATACCTTGACAGGACCAAAAAAAAATTTCAACACCACTTGTCTTATCATTATGGCTCTCCATTTTTAGACCTTCTCATAAATGAACTTTGAGAAAGTCTAAGTTAGTAAACAAGAAATAAGTAAAATGGCTATTTTCTGTTATTTAATAGTGCTGTATGATGCTTCTCTGAAATCATCAATTATTTAAGATTAAATCTGCTTTAAGCCAAAAATGATAAAATGTCATTTTAACCAAAAAGTTTAGTATCTCATATTTATATTGGTGTAAAAACTATAGGAATCACCATTACATCTTTTTTCCTGCACATCAATTCAGACTCTTTTAATACAGACTGTGTAGATAATCTTCCACAAAAGGCTTTGTGATGGTAAAGTTATTTAAAAATTTTTTATCTTCCTATTAAGAAATTATTTTATTATAATTATCTTAAAAGATCTACTTGGTAATCTCAAATTATCACTTCTCATTATTTCAAAGCTTGTAGGTTCTTGACAAACTCAAAAATGTAGCAAACTCCTGATTTTTCAACAGTGAAACTGAGAAAGTTGTAATATATTCCACTAATTTTTACAGTCTGGGATTATATATATGACTTTTTAGGGTTTATTTCAGGGAGAAAATCTTCAAAAGTATCTGTAATGTGTACTCCTTTGTCCTTGATATCATAATTTCAGAACACATCATGCTTAGTTCAAAAAAAGATGCAGTTGTCCTTTCACTCCCAAGGAGCACAATTTATTTCAATTAGCTGTGGTTTTACAAGTTATTTTACTAAACACATTCTATTCCTTACTTTCCTCAGGGGAATAATCACAAAGAAAAACAGCTTGATATTTTTATAAACAAATCAGCGATTTTGACTATCAAGTGGCTTTTATCTTTTTCTCCTCAACTCTCTCCTTGAAACTACTTGCTTTTTTCAACTTTCATCAATGAGACCATCTCTAATAATCTGCCTTGATTTCCTACAAGTGTATTATTGTCCTTTCAGTCACATTCACATCCAAATGTGGAAAAGCTCTTGAAAGCAGAGACCCTGTGGATAACATCGACATAGTTAAAAAAAGAAAAAATACATATATATTTTAGCACTTTATAACTTAAGAAGCAATAAAAATTTGTAGCACTACTCCAAGATTTTGCATTCTGTGAGCAAATATCTTTTTTATCATCTGTTTAATTTTCCTTGAAAAGGTTTATAGCTATTACTCTCAGACCAATAGCATAAAAGTCAAAATATAAGATTCTTTCTCTATGAATAAAGACAAGTAGTTGGAGCTGAGGTAAGAAAGCGCCGCCCTGTGATGGGAGCCCATCTGGATCCTTACATCCTGCAGCACAGCAAATGCTCACAGCCTTCCCTATAGGTGCTGCATTCCTGTACCACACAGAGCTTTCAGCAATGCTATGCAGAGAAGCCATGGGGTAAAGCCTTGGTCTTCCCCAAGAAAGAAATAAACAGCAAAGAAAATAATTGGTAAGGTGGAAAGTGATCCAAAGATGCAATGAACATGCACAAAAAGAAGGAACAAAATTACACACCGAAGGAAGAAAGAAAAAGCCCAAGGATGTAGAAAATGACAGAAGCTGTGCAATTGCAAGTAATAGTGACCCAAAAGAAAATGGGGACAGATGAAATGGTCTAGGTTCATTATAGAGTAGTCTGAATCAAAATTAGGCATGAGAAATAATGCAGGAAGATCACACAGTGCTTTTCTCTGTTAATCTAAGACAAAATTAAAGCAATTGATAAAGAAAGCAATTTGATTGCCCAGGTGGGCAATCAAACCCACCTGGAAACAAGCTTCTTTACAGACCACTCAAAAGCCAAAGGGTATTTAGCCCCAGTGCATACTGCTAAAACAACACCTATTAAAAACAAAAGGATAAAGACCAGTGCTGACAATGTTTAACATCACAGACGAGAGCACAGCTGCTCAGGGTAAGTGCTGTGTGCTTCACTTCTTAGGACTTTGCAACCAAATCTGTCTACCATACTTTAAATTTTCTAACTCAATCTTCAATTAGTGTACATTGCTGTTTGATTCACAATTACAGGATGAGCCAGCACTTTTTGGCCAAGTGACACAAATTTCTGGAAATCTATGGGAAGCTGTAATGGTCGACAGAACTGAATACCTAAAATGGGAGCGTGAGGCACAGATACAATACAAAAAAGCTTAGGAATCCATTGCGCACGTAGACATAACATTACAATCCCAAAAGCAAAAAACAGAACCAGGACAACAGCTTGAAATGTAAACAATTATGGAATCACCCACAACAAAGTTCACCACGTTCGTGTGTTTGTTAAGGGACCCTGTATCCTCAGATTTAGATCCTTCCTGCAGCTATACTTAATGTATAGACAGAAAGCAAAGTCAAGAGGCCCGTAGCAGCACAATGGTGCTGCAGTTCTCTAGGAGGACCCTGCTGGAAGGAATGTTGGATCCCCCCAGATCCCAGACATGCTGCAGTCAGCAGGATGTCACATGTGGAGCCTTTTCCAAACAGCACCAAAGCCAGAGGCACTGCACTGCTCTCAACCTGCACAGACAGCCTCATTTCCTCTGCTCTGCTCTGCCCCAGCCTGCCCTGCCCCATCACATCCCAGGTAGATTTGGCCTCATCATTCTGGCCAGAGCAGTTTTCTTTCTGGCTGTGCTGAGGGGTGGTATCAGCTCTGACTCTTCTGGTACAATACAGCAGGGGAAGGCACACAGGGAACTGCACAACCAGACCGACAGCAGCGGAGACATCTCTGGCATTTGCTCTGTGCTGTGAGTTACATAACGCTGTGGTACTCCGGAGTAGATGCCACTTGATGACACAACTGATCTGTTGGCAATAGCTGGATGTTCCAGAACAAGAAGCACGTTGAAAAATCAGTGGTGTGCAGGTATAGTTTTGTATCAGTCAAGAAGACAACCTAAAACCTGGTTAAATATTGCAGCCCGATGTCATAAAAGTTTGTGGATAAATAATTAGATTAAAGATTCAGTCCTTAATTAAAAGGCAGGGATAACACATAACCAAGATGAAGAACATGTTTCCTTACTTTTCCTTGACAGCAACATCAGCTCAGACTACTTCATGCTTTGTTTGAATGAAGAAAAAACATAATTAAAGTTTTAATTAGAATTGATTGTGGTCCACAAACCTGAAATGGATTGTGCTGTATGAACACTGTAAAAAAATTGTAAAAGATCTTTCAAGAAAACTCATGTTCTTAAATGAACTATGTTCTTTAAAAAGGAAAGGCATTCTCTCAAGTAATAGGCTAGTAGTGAAAACTACTGACTCTGAAAATGTGTGACAGAAACAACTACAAGGAAGCACACGTTCTGAAAGGGACAGTGATTATGTAGTCTACAGAGGCTGAGCTTCCACATACACTTATTTTTCTGTGTGATTAATCTGTTGCATATCATATTCTGGTTATAAAATATGTCCATCTTTTTATTCTTCATAAAGAATACCTCTGAGATCTGAACTTTCCAATATATAAAGGAAGAGAATGCACAAAGGCACACTAACAACAAAACATTGCTAAAAATATATCACCACCAGAACTGTTGGGAGAAGTACCTGTATCTCTTAAACCCATCTGTTACATTAACCATCTTCTGTACGAGAACATGGAATTTATTCATGTATTTGGCCTTTTGATAATTGGCTATGTGTTTAATGCCCAAGCAATCACCCTTCAATTTTAATGAAAAGGCGGGTGTTTTCACCACTCTGTAATCCGCAGGTTTGCTCGTCAGCCGAAAAGGCTGGAGGTGCAGGTGAACCCCCTCCCCGCCTTGCTGCACTGCTCCGGGAAGTGCGGGATTCGGGAGCGCGGTACCTGCGCGGCAGCGGGAGCTCCGCCCGCTCCGGCTCCAGCTGCCCCTTGCCCGAGGAAGGCGGAGAGCCCCGTCCCACCTCCCAAAGCCCCCGAACGGGCTCCTCCAGGGCCGGGGAAATGGAGGGTCTGCAATCGCGTAACATCAACCCCCCTTCCCCTTTCCCTCCCAGTCCCCGACGGTTTCTCCGCACGCCAGAGGCCGGAGGAGGCAGCCCAGGACGGGGCAAGCCAGGGAGGAACACCCAGCCGAGGAAAGGCTCCTGGCACTGGGGACGGGATGCGAAGTTGGGGTGGGGGGAACCTTGCAAGTGGCTTCATGCAGGAAGGGGATCGCCTGGCTGGGGTGGGAGGAGGGAGGCGTTCCCTCGTGGGGGCAGTGGGGAGAGCGGGGGACTCCGGGGGGTGGGGACACCTCTGGGCAGGCGGGAAAAGCCTCGCACCGGGGGAGCCGGCGGCAGGGGCAGCGAGCGGCGGGGACCGAGCAGCTCGCCGTGCCCGGGGACCGAGCTGTGCGGAGGGCGGCGGTGCTGGGGTCCCTTCTGGCAGCGCCCGCACGGGCTGAGCCCCCGTGTCCCGGTGCGCCCCCGCCGCGGCGCTGAGCACCGCGCTCCCCCCGCACCCCGCGGCCAGGACCCGCTCCTTCCCGGCGGGGGATGGAACAGGAGGGCGAAGAAGCCCTCGGGGTAGCGGCAGGCGTTCCTCCCCTCGCCCCACAGACACACCACGTCCCTCCGGGTGCGAGCCACCTATTTCGAAGCGATGCTGGCGCGCAAAGTTGCGCCGGTCGGACAGCCCCGCCCGCGCTCCCTCCCTCCCTCCGCAGCCGCGCACATCCCGGCCCCCGCAGAGCCCCCGCGCTCCGCTCCGCTCGGGTCGGCGCGGAAATCGCCTCCCTCGCTTTCCGCCCGGCTGCTCACGATCTGCCTCAACCTGCTCCACCTTTTGTTTTGATCTTTGGAAATGAAATTCTCTCTTCTGCCGTCTCCTTTCCCTCCTCCTTCTCACGCCTTCGTGTGGGAGATGCCCAGGATCGCACACCAGCTTTTGTTATCTCCTCCCACCTCCATCTTCACTCCGATTGATGCCCTAGTAAATAGCAGGAGCGCGGCACCTCCGCCCCGCACCTACCCCGCTACCACCTGCAAGCACGTCGCCTGTTAAATAAATTAATGATAAAAACATTCCTTACAGGCAGTGTAATAGGCAAGCGATAGAGCGATCGCATGGATCGGGAGCACTTTTGCCTCCCTCGTGGTGTGATGACCTTGTGAGGGCTGCTCTGGCGCTTGCTTTCGCACGGTCTTTTTTTTTTTTTTCCTTCCTTTTTTTCTTTTTTTCCTTTCCCTACTGGAAAAAAAAAATCACGCCCTTTTCGCTATCCCTTTTCAAACGAACACGAGCGCCAGACTCCCTCTTCCACCAAAGCGTTTCCAAGCGCAAATTGTTACGCGACAGCTCAGCTCTTCCTTTGGATGCTGTCGGTGCTCATATCCGGATCGGTGGGGGTTTCGGTCCCATCTCTCCACAGTTAACGGCAAATCGCCGCGGGTACGATTCCCTCCATCTCTCCAGTGGAACAACTCCCGCACACCGACCGCGCACACCAACTTTCCCGGTGAGGATGATCCGACCGCTGAGCGCCGAGGCCCCGCAGCCCCCGCCTCAGCCCCGCCGCCTTCCCGGGAGGAAAAGCCCCGCGCGGGGCAGCCCGGCAGCCGGTTCTCGCCCGCACCTCACGGGTGCGGAGCCCGGATCCCCCCCCTTTCCCCCGGCGGTGCCTCCCCGCACTTACTGCGGGCGGGGGTCTGTCCGCGGTGCGGAGGAGGGCGCAGGGCCCGGGGTCCCGCGCGGTGCTGGGGCCGGAGGGACACGCGGCGCCGCCTCGGTGCGCGCCCGCCGCCGCTCGCGCCGCAGCTCCTGTGCGCGCCCCCGCTCCGCCCCGCGCGCCGCCCGCCGCCGCCCCGCACTGCAGGACCGCCGCCCCGCGCGCCGCCCCGCGCTCCGAGCATGCGCGCGGGGCCGGGCGGGCGGGCGCGGGGGAAGCCCCGGGGCGGGCGGGGGCCGAGGGGCAGAGCCCGGCGGGGCTCGGCCGGGCGGCCTCGGCCTCGGCCGCCCCCGGGTGCCCGCTCCCTGTGCCCGGCGTCGTCCGGGCCCTGCCCGCTTCGCTCGGCGGCTCCTTCGCTCCACGCGTGCAGCCGTGCTGCGCCCGGCGTGCGGGTACAGCGCCGCCAGCGCGCGGCGATCACAGAATCACAGAATCAATTAGGTCGGAAAAGACTTCTGAGATCATCGAGTCTAACCTGTGACCACCTTGTCAACCAGACCGTGGCAACGAGTGGCACGTCCTGTGTTTTAACACCTCCAGGGATGGCGACTCCACCATCTCCTTGGGCAGGCCATTCTGTTATGTAATAACCTTTTCTGTGAAGATTTTCTTCCTGATGTCCAACCTAAACATCCCCTGGCACAGCTCAGCACTGTGTCCTCATACAGCCAGTTGCTGAGAGAAGAGGCCGGTCCCCATCGGGTTCCTTTCATGTGCGAGGCGAGGGCAGCGGTGACCCGCGCACGGAGCCGCCTGGAGCTGTCACAGGTGTGTGTAGGCGTCATCTTCCATTGCACCCTTACACCTTGGCTCTTCTGCACAGGCTTCTTACACTATCATGGAAGGTGATGTTATATAGCTTAGCTTTAAAACATCATTCAACCCCTGAAACGTGAAATTCAACTGGTCTTGCGCTTCAATATAAAACCCAGCTGAGGCTGCCCTGCCCTCGCTTTTGTCACCGTCACTGTAGCAGCTGCTTTTGTGGTAGGAGTAAAAGATCAGGGCTCCTTCACAAGACACTGCACAGCGTGTAACTAACTCTAGGCCCTTTTTAAGGCAGAGACATACATCAGTGTTTGCTTTCATGCATGACAAGCGCTGTCACTGACTGTTTACATAAATTAAGCATATTTAGCATGTCCTAAACACAACAGTGCAGAAAGCAGATGGATACACCAAGGAGGTGAAAGGGAGGCAAAATAATGACGTATGGAAAAGAGTGAATTACACCAAGCCTGTTTTTAACTATCTGCTCATTATTTCAGAAAGAGAAGAGCATGAAGATTGTGTCGTAAGCGAAGGAGGAAATAATTTTTCATTTACTGTTGAAATTCTTGAAGAATTATATTGTAACACAAGCTGATGTGTACAAATGTACAGGAAGTGACAGTATGTTCAGTTTGCGAATGTAGACAATTGAATTCATAGGTTATCTTTTTGTGGTTGGCAAAAGTCACCACTTTTGCTCCCAGAATTACTTTTTTTGTGGAAAGCAACAATTTTATGATTTTATGCTTTTCTTTTTTTTTTTTTTTTTAACTTCCCAATGCACCACTCACTTCAGTTCATGTTTTGGTTTTCTAGATGTGTAAAAATACTGCCTGAAAATGCTAAAAATTTAGTTCCATTCCAGGCTTTGCAGAAAGAAACAGGATTTTATACACTTGACTGGGTATCTCTGAAACTCATGTTTTATTTGTTCAGATTAATTTAAATTATTTTCTGTCATCTTCATATTGTGCTACCTCATTGCTTTCTTGGCCTGGCAGATCATTAATAATCATCTCTAGCATAATGAATGTTAGAGTGCTGTAACATCTGCTTCTAAGTTTTAACCACATCATTCCCTCGTATTTTCTGTCTCTTGCTCAGTTCTTTATAAGTTTGTCTTGTACCACCACAGTGCAACATTTATTCTGTGTGCCCTATTTTGATTTTAGCCATATTGCAGTTACTGCATAACTTTGTCTCATCTTCGTAACATTTCTAGTGGCAGCAGCGTAGCTATGGAAGTGCAGAGCTCTGGGATGGCTCTAAACTCAGGTATTTACAAGGTGTCTTAGCTGGGTTTTGCTGTGTTCTTCCACAACTGCCAAGGCAGCAGTATTTCAGGCAGCTGGTAGAAAGCTGCCGTAGGCTTGATTGTCTGCTGTGTGACTGGGACTTAGAGATGATGCCCCTTTCCCCATCATTTGGGGTCATCCTTTGCAAATACCTGAACATTTGCTTACCCTCAAAAAGCAGAAATAATACGTTGAATTAAAAAAAAAAAAGTTGATAAAACACATTTAAATATGACGTTTTTTACATCATAGTATTTTTAAAATCTAATTCAGTGTCAGAATTCAGCTACAAAAAAGGTGTAGATTAAGCAGATGATACGATGTAGTGTGTTTTCATATAAAACTTTCCCTGTCTATATTTAGGTAATTACATATAAAATCACTTTACTTAGACTGCATTTTCAAATGCATTTGAAAACAAGATTCTCATCCAAAAAAAGAGGTACTCAACAGTATTATTCTAGAAAACTGGCTTATTTTTACATGTACTACATCACAGACACAATGCAATACAAAACAATGCTGCACTGAAAAGTGTATATACGTATAAAACCTCTCCACTTGCATTATTAGTGCTTAGTCAAAAATTCTAATGAAAAAGTTTCATTTTGGTGTAGATCAACAATTTAATAAGTTACTTCTATTCTATTCAAGGCATTATCATTAGAAAGGTAATAATGACATTGCCAGTGTGTGCTATTATGACACCTCTTACATGGCGCTGTCCTACACTGCATGCAGCTCCTGAAGGCTTTTGTAAGTTGTCTGTAAAAGTTTACCAGTCCAGATCATTGCCATTTTCAGCCACTTAGCATTCATTTTTTTTTATTTGTGCAAATAAGATTGTGTTTTAGGCTGTGGAGAATTACATTCACTACACTTGCTTCTCCAGATAGATAATAGAATTTTCTATTTTCTGATTGTACAGTTCTTTGGATCTTGCAAATGCAACTTATCGTTGCCAAGTAATTGTTGCAACTTCAGATGATTTTTTAACCTAAATAACATGATGCTCATAATGGAGCTACAGCAATTTAAAAGAAGTCACAGTCTGACCTAAAGTTTTCTATTGAAAGTGTATATTTTTTATTTTACCCTCAGTATGAACAGTGTAAATATAAGGATTCTTAGCTTATGAAGGAATAGCAACGTGGGTACCTGCTCTTTTACAGTCTTCCATGCCTTACATGGGTCTTCTTTAGGCTTTCAATCTCCTGAACTTGCTGCTTATACCTTTGAAAGAAGCCAAGTGAGGCCCTAAGTCTCTGATCTTGTCAAGGGAGATAGATATGCACCTTCAGAGGGAAATTCAAAACCTAATGAGATCGAGGATCCGCCTCTCCTTTTTTCTCTCCCTCCTTTGCACACCAGAGTAGACAATTCAATATTATAAGTCACAGTAGTCTCTGAGAGGACTCACTGTCTCAGCAGGTGGCTTACTGGTAATGAGACTTTTTTTTTTTTTTTAATTTAGCATGGTCTCCCATTTTGCAGATATCAATTTAAATGCAGAATACCATTTTGGGGTTTGCATTTTCCCCTTTCTCTTTTATGCTCAATACTTGCTAAGAATATATTTGCATATATATTTTACAAGAATCAACAGCAGAAAAAATATAATTAGAAGGAATTTGAGTCTGTATCTACATCTCTAGCTGTATGCTTTATGTTCTGTCAGGCCTTTTGAAGGAATGATTTTCTTTCTTCTTTCTGTGTTCCCTTGGTGCAGTTTTTGCACGCTGAGATGTACTTGTCTGTTAGATGGGGAGCTGAAAGCAGCAATGCGGCTGCAAGGATTGGCAGAAGGGAGCTGCTGCAAGGCTCTGTGATTAAGCGAAGCTGCTGCAACACACTGCAGTTGGAAAAGGGTGAGATTCTTGGTGCTCAGCAGCAAACAATGAGCATGGCTGATTTTATCACTTTCAAAGTGACTGTAGATTGTCTTGCTTCTTTAATGTGCTATATATATCATTACATGAAAATGACATTTTTGTCTGTGTATTATCTTTCATTTTTATCTCTCATTTTAAAATACATTTATAATATCCCTAACAATATAGATAAAACAAAATGAACTTACTTTACTAATAAATGCAATTTTTCTTCTTTATGAAATGTAGTTATTTCTTGTGTGCGGATCACCTTTGTTTGTGTCAAATGAAATAAATTACAATTCAGTCTTTTTATTAATGAGACCAGTTATTAGTCTTCAATTTCTTAGGTTCACAGAATGAAATGCAAAGAAAATACCATTTATGTAACATAATCTCTGATGTTGTATAATACAATCACAACTGGGGAGTGTGTGCAATGCCTAACTTTAGAGCCTACATTTGATAGGCTAAATACTTATCTGTTTGCTTGCATTTTCTTTCATGTCAATGAAAATACAGAGAAACTGTAATAAGGTGATTCAGGCTGGGAACCTGGCTAGCAAGAGGCAAGAAAAGACATATTTAAGTTCAGGCACCTAAATGAAATGTCTAAAGCTAAATGGCATGAGCCCAGGTTTCACTCCAGTAGGCTGCTTCCCACAGAAGCTGTTCCAGTTGTTCTTCTTAAGTGAGGCATTTGCTCAAGCAGAAATAAAAGGTTGACATTCTGGACCTGAGAAATGTAAGCTTCAAGTAAATAATGGGTGTTTATAAGGATAGGAATGACAAAACTGAGACACATTTCATTTTCTACAAATGTCCTAAAGATAGCTTTCCTCTGCCATTTAGCTCAAGGCAGAACTTTTACATACACAGAATAATTCCTGTGAAGTCACGCTGGTCACATGGCCTTGAGATGTTCCAACAGGACTTTGCTTATTTGATCTATGATTGTTCTTAGCTAAAATATTATAATGATGACATGGAAAAATTGGAACTCAGCTGTAGATGTAATAGCAAATAATGAGATTAAAAATAGAGGAAAAGGCCACAAATTGCAGCTAGTTTAGAAGATTTATTACTAATGGAATTCTTACTTTAACCACCACACATCAAAGCAAACAAGATTCTACCTAACCTTTTTTGACACCAGATTATCTTACTCAGCTTTTCACTTCTGTCATTATTTTTATTATTCATTTTTGTCATACAGATTTGTATGATTAATAACACACTTCAATGCTGTGACATGAGTGCATTTTCTACTAAAAATGGTGGGAGGGGTAGATAGAGAATAAGAAGACTGTTTACTTGCTTTTGGACAAAATGTACTCACAACTTGGTGGATACATATATGTAGTTGCCTTTGTGTACTTAAACTGCACTATGAAACATGATGACTTCATATAATAGTCTTTATTTGAGAGGTAATACTTTTTAATATGATTTGGTTTGAGAGAACAGCAGTGAATCAGCACTCTTGGACCATAATCACTAGAGCAGGATGTACTGCTTAGAGCAGAGATGCATCTCAGAAAGTGGGCCACTGGACATAAAATCAGAACCAACAGAAAAGAAACATCAAAGAAAAGAGATACTAAACAAAACATTGAAAACTTATTTCATAATTCCATTTGCAATGAAATCGCTCATTTTCTAATGCTAAGTCATCTTTTCCTTCATCTGTTAACCCCTAACATAAATGCAGTCATCTGCCCACACGTTTCTAATTGCCAACATCCCTATTTGTCAAAATCCTGCTACTGCTTCTCTCCCCAAAATACATCACACAGCATCTGGTCTCGTGCCTGATATCAGAGAGATAGCTTGAGAAAGTCATATCAAAAGCAAAGCAGTTAAACAATGTTTCTTTTACAAGAACCCCTCTCTTTGTAGTAGTTTCAAGTTTAGGAACACACTTTCTGATCAGACACCTTAAGAGGTAACTATAAACTACTTAGTAATGAGTTTGTCATTATTAAGGAATTTATGTCTGTGATTTCTGTAACTTCCTGTTGCAATGAGTTTTACATTTAACTAAGTTTTAGATATGGGGAAAAAATATTTACCCTTACGATTAATCTAGAACCCATTTTTCACATTCAGTGGTGAAAAATGTACTACCACACTGAAAAACAGCTGTGCAATATCAGCATATTAATTTGAAGTAATGCCGAAAATGCTAATTTATAACTATTTATTAAAATACATAATATAAAAATAATATATTAATACTGAACTAACTATACTGATTCTTTTTTATCTGATTAAAAAAAAAAAAAAATTAAGCTTCAAAACAAGTGTTCTGTGGCATATCCTGTCACCATGTGTACTTGATATAAAATTCATGAACCTTTCCCCAGTCAGGCCTCAAGGAGCTCCCGGGGACTGATTTATTTGTTTGATGTGGGAAGATGAGGAGGGTTGGTATTCTGAGAACCCACCTCCTAAAACACTATCCACTTGAAAATCATTTATCTGTGAGAACCATCCTAGGTGGTTTAGCCAAACATCAGACTTTGTTTTGAAGTGTTTCTTCTTCCCATTTTGAAGCCCTATGGGTACCTCTTTTTGATAAATTTCCATTCATTGTGACTTTTGCCTCAAGTCCCTGTCTGACCATCCTCATCGCTGTTTATTCCCTCATCGCTGGAACATCCTGTGCTCTCTGCTGCACTGAGCAACCACTTTCCATTCCCTCTTCCAGAACAGATGCTTCCTCCCAAAGGATGGTCCTATCAAAAAGTGAGAAAGGGTGACTGTGTATTTATTATATTTTAAATTTAAGATATAGTTTATTATCTTATGTATGTATCTTGAGATCCAAGAAAAGGAGAATTTTAATATTTTCACTTGCTCTTGCAAATTTTTCAACATTGATGGAAAAGTAAGCAAAGCTTAAGAGAGAACAGTCAAGTGTGGCTGTTGTAAACAAATATGTAGCAAGCCAGAACACTTAAAACAAATGCAGCAGGTACTTTGCAAAACTGTTGTCTCAAATAAGCATTCTAAACTTCTCTAGTTATATTTATTGGTCTGTGACTGCCTGAGATATCTATGTCTTTGGAGACTATTGAAAAATATTCACATACTTGCCAGCTTATCCAATTTAGGAACAATATAGAAATAATAAAAGTTTTCTGTGTGCATATTTTTTTTTTTAATTTTCAACCTGGCTATTTACTTTTTTTTTTTTTAATTTGGTAGTTTATTTCATGTTTTACAGCGCTGTACAGTATTAATAATTTTCCTCCAATTTTCAGACCACTTTCATATGATCATGATTTTTATCCCCATAATTATTTTTTATGTGATGTGTAATGTTCTGGTCAGCATATTTCAAGTCATTCTCAGATGCTGTTTAGTTCAATAATGAAGCCATCAGTATCTGCAATTTGGGAGGTGAACCAAAAATCATGGAGTTAGCTGCATTAGTTTAAAATCAACTCACTGTGAAAATAAGATTGCCCCTAGTTCTTTATTATATGACTGCAGGCTGCTGCTAACTGGGCAGTGCATTGTAGCACAACACTATCACAGCAGGAACAGCAAAGAACTGAAAGCAATATTGAGTTGGATGAATTTAATTTTAATCTAGATCATTCTTACCAGAATGATTCCTTTCAGAGGCAGTGTTATATGAAAGCAGTGGTTAGGTTTTAATGTCATATGGTGTTCTAGTTTATTTGTCTTTACAAAAGAGATGCATTCATCTTCCTTAACTCTGATGCCATCTCAAACTACTGAAAGTTCAAGTAAGTGTTTTGTCCCAATTAATTTGATATGAGCAGTAGTGTAACTGAGATTCTGTTGCTTCTCTTGAGAAATTTATCTCATGGTCCACATGAGTTCAGAGAATCACCAAATCACAAAATGTGCCAGGCTGTTTAAATGTGGTTAGTGTATATACATGTTTTGTGTGTGTATATGCAAGTACATACACACACACACACACACACACACACACACACACACACACACACATACACACAGAGTTAAAGCTGTATTATTTACTGCCAAATTTCATGTGTTAAATGATTTATTATCTTCTTTACAAGATTTGTTTAGAAATTTTTAATTGATTACTTACCTCTCTCTTACTTGTTCTGTAGGCAGCTGAGTTATTTGAAACAGGCCTTCCTATAGGAATTATCTTTCCTATGGATTGATCTCTTTTACCAATTTGTTGATGTTTAACAAAATATCAGATATTTACAGGAGCTGTTTCATAGCTATTTAATCAGATTTCTTTCCTCATGTCGAGTCTATTAATTTCTATCCACAGCTGAAACAGGGGTTGAACATCGGAGTTTTGTAAAGACTTACTGGAGTGTAATTTTTAATGTATATATGTGTTTACACATAAGAATGCCTCACAAAAAATCGAATAAATTTACATAACTGTGATATAAAAAATATCTATGATGATTTCATACAGGTATAAAGCCAGCATACGTATAATTAGTCAATCTTTTATGTGAGACCAGATGATCATTTTACAAGATGCTTTAGAATAAATGTTTACAGACTTTCTCTTGTTGGTAGTTGACCATGTTTAAGAGTCAGCAAAGCAGGAATCAAAAACGATCTTATTTTGCAGTAGTTCCGCATGAACCCCAATAAAAGGTTCCATGTTCTTAAGGAATTTTACCCCTAAGGCTTTGATTCAACAATAATTTCTGATTCATATTCTTGATAAAAGGACATTAAGTTCTTTCTGTATTTCTTTAACCAATATTTTTCCTAATACCTAAATGTGTAAAACCTTTGAAAGGGTGATTCTGTTTTAAATAATTAACTGATCCCTATTCATACCATGAGTATTAATGAAATTCTGTGTCTCTTTCAAACTAGCAGCACCTGAATAGACTAAAATAGATTAGAAAGAATAATTGCTGAATTTAAAAGTGAACTGCTTATTAAATCAAAGTAGTCTATGAGTTGTTTTAGCAGGCAGTCAGTGTGGAAACCATTTACCAGTTGCTAGGATGTCTCATTTCTAGTGTTGACCTTCAGCTGTATCAAGTCAGTGCCTGCTGTGGAAGAGTGCAGAGGAGCAGGCAGCCTGGCTGTGTGCTCTGCCGGATTGCCGGGGCTGGCTGAGCACGGGCACAATGCTCAGCGCTTTACAGCAGTGCCAGGAGTGCCTGGGATCCCAGGAAAACATGCTCCCACTGCAAACTGCCCTCCCATCCAGCCCACTCAAGAGATGAGCGGAACTGAGTGGTGATGATGGGCATTTTACCTCTGTGTTTGTCTACTTCAGCAACTTTTCTTGTCTTACAGGGGTTTTCTGTGCCTATGGAGAAGATTTTTGTAAATAAATATGTTTAAATAAATATGTTTAAATTAACACTGTAGCTACACTGTGATTTCATGGTATATACCAGAGAGCATCGTCTACTACATGAAAGTACATGAACAAAGAGATGCTATTTTTTCAAGATAATGAGACAAAGGCAGTGATTTTATATATATATATATATATATATAAATAAATATATATATAATCACTTATTGTCTGGCTATTGAAAAGATTCCTTAAAAGAAATACAACCACAGATTCATGTATTTTTTTAATGTTGTATAACCAGTATTTTACACTGTTCATGTCCTAAAAATGGATATAGATTTTATTTATTTTGATTTTTTTTTATTTGTTTTTGACAGGTGAAGGATTGCTCATATGGACACATAGCAATTTTTATCATGATTCCCATTCCTTAATGTATCACATTATTAGTTATTTTTAGACTTTTCAGTCTTTCACAATAAAAAATTAAAACATCCATTTTGATCTAAAGTGTTTTATATGTGTTATTATAATTAGACTATCTTATTCGTATGAAGTTAACTTTAAAAGATGCTAAGAGACATCCACTATGTTTAAAACTCATCTGGACAAAACATTTTAAACTCATTTGGTTTCATCTTACTAATACTGCATAGATTATTTTGAATTGTGTTTTCACAGGGAAAAAATTTAGATTTTAATTATAAGCCATTTAGAATATTTCATCATTATAACCTATGGTTTCCTCAAATACTGTCAACAATGTTCCTGTTTAAGGAAGTTAGGGGAGTTTCAACTTTGCCAATCTCATCTGCATCATTCATCTTTTAGTCATATTTTTAAATATAGAAGTTTTTGTATTCACAGTAAGCCACAATATCTTTCCAGTGGTTTCATATTAAATTAATGAAAAGGTGTATGTTACTGAATGTGTTTTATGTTCACATTTTATGCTCAGCTCACAACTAATACTCTGTGTTAGATCAGGAAGGTGAGGGAGAATAAAAAAGAAAAATAATGCATCTATTGTTTAAAATATGCCCATTCCCTTACAGTGTAAGCACTGAATTAAAGAATTCAGTAAATATTTATCATTGCTAATATATAGGAACAGAGGAACATGTGTTTGGAGGAGAACTTTAGCCATGGATTGCACATGTGAATAATTTGGAGTAGAGATTGTGGTAAAAAATAGGTTTATTCAATTGCAATCCCATTACAGGAAACAGTTCCTGAAGTTCAAATAAGAGATTTTAATTTTTAAGAACTTATGGGATGTTAATATGTGTGAAAGCTCCCTCTGAAACATTTGCCGTGGAGTACTGTGCTCTTCAAATTCCAGTCAATTGTTCTCAAAGTCAAAACTGTCTATCATGAGAACAAAATGTACTATTATGCTGTTCTGTCTGCTGAAAGATCAACACATCTTCTTTTTGTCACTAAAGAGGTACATTTTTCAGGAAATTTCAAACAGGAATGATAAAAAAAAAAAAAGAAGCACTCATTCAAAAATATTGAACAGAGTTAAAAAGGGATGGATATTTAACCTGCATAATGGGCATTGAGTTTTTAAGTCCAGTCATTTATTATTTCATAAATATTTAGGCTTCGTTAATTTTCATTAGTAGCACATTTCATCATACAGTATCTTCAGAAAATGTAAAAATACAGTACAATTTTTAAACATAGATAACAATCTGAAATATGAATCTAATTAAAAGAAAAAGTAAAAATGGCCATAGTGGATCGGTTGTTTGTCTTTGCCCTGGTTACAAATGGCACAGTATATTGTCTCCCACACTGACCAGTAGCTAGTGTTTAGAGGAAGTGTAAAAGAAATGATCCAAATGTAAAGTAATTCTTCACTTAGTACCTTGTGGCTTCTTATGATCAACATTTTGCAATTTTTTTAATCTCAGTTTGCAGTCAAGTCATTGTGCTTTATATATTATGAAGGTCTCTTTCCTGAATTTATTTTAATTGTTTTTTAAACCTTTCATATCTTTGATCCTCATAACTGCATGCTACCATGAGTTCCACAATTTAATTATATATGAAAAGTATTATATTTTGTTTGTACTAAGCTTCTGAAGCAGTAATTTTTGTGATATGTCCCAGTTCTTTTCCTGCAAGGAATACCTTATTTGATTCATCCAGAAATTATCTGGAAAGGGGAATGCAGAGAAAGCTGATCAAGTTTGCTGATGATATTGACCAGTTTAGAATAGCAAAAAGGAGAACCACAAGTGAAGAACTGAAGAAAAACCTTGTGAGGTGGGGCAAGAAATCGGGAGTTGAAATTTTTTTTGAAGTAATGAGAAATGCAGCAGAGAGGAAAAAATTCAGCTTCATATTTAAAATGATGGGCTCTGAAATGACCCTTACGGCAGAGGAGCCAGCTCTTCAAATTATAATGGATGGTTCAGTTAAAATGTCTGTGATCATCAACAGTCAAGAAATCAAGTTAAAAGTTAAAAATTATTGGGAAAAGAATAAACTTCAAAATGAAATAATATTAATATGCAGATGCTTAAATACGTGAAGCACCTGCAATTTTATCATTATCTATACTTCTGATCCCTCATCTTACAGACAATATGGTTGAATTTTAAAGGGCTCAGAGAAGGGCACCAAAGATTATCAAGGGTGCGGAATTTCTCTTGTAGTGGGATCAACCAAATAAGGCTCTACTTCAATCTGTAAATAGTTTCCTCATCATGATGTGATAGAGGTCTTAGAAACATGAATGGCATGTCAGGGTTTTGTAGGGACTGAGTGTTCACTGTGTATTACTAATGCAAGACAGCAAGGTGGTAAAGCAGAGCGCTGGTTCCACATGAATAGAAAAGGAACTTTTAGTAAAATTGTTGAGGTTAACCTGGAAGAGCAGTTCTTTGATCCTAAATGTTGTGGGTACTAAAAGTTTATGTGGAATTAAAGGGAAATTGGAAAGAAATCATAGAAAAATAGTAAAGATCATCTAGATCCACCCAATCTGCCAAAGGCAGGGACACCTTCCACTAGACTAGGTTGCTCAAAGCTCCATCCAACCTGGACCTTCAACACTTTCAGGAATGGAGCATCCACAATTTATGTGGACAACCTGCTCCTGTACCTTACCATCCTCACAGTAAAAATTTTCTTCCTAATATCTAACTCAAACCTACTCTCTTCCAGCTTGAAGTCATTGCCCCTTCTCCTATCACTACATGTCCTTGTGGAAAGACCTCTCCAGCTCTCTTCTAGGCTCTCTTCAGGTACTGAAATGCCACAATATGGTCAGCCCAGACCCTTCTTTCCTCCAGGCTGAATAACCACAACTTTCTATATCTCTCTATTGAATATAGAAAAGAAATACATGGAAATCCTGATTATGTAGGCAGTAACTAAACTAGAAATGGTTGCAGACTGAGGCCTCCTAGAAGATGTACATGCTGAACCCATTCTTAGCCTGTCTACATGAGCCTGAGTTTTTTGTTGCTGTCAGGATGCTGGGCTGACCTGACTATTGTTCAATATGGCCTCTCTTCAGTTCTGTGAAGAAATACTCCTTTTCTTGTTCCCTGTTTTATACTATCAAAGATTTTATGGACCCATATCTTGGATCACTACTAATGATCTCTCTTCTTCAGTTAAAATTTATATATTCAGTTAAAGTATATATTCTTTTTTCCATAGGAAACTTCTTTTACACTGATTATCACTGTTACTTTTTTTACCTTTTCCAATTCAATTCATTTGGGTTTTTTAAAGGTGGGATGACTGGAGTGAAATTCACTGTTAAAGATTTGAACATACTGTGGATTTCAGAAATATAATTTTCCCAAAAATTTCTTACTTTTTCTCTTTTTTTTTTTTTTTTGACTGCTTGTGAATGTTGAATTACGGTTTTCAGAAATTTTCTGTAGAATGCCATATATCTTTTTTTCAGGGTAGAAAGTATCTAATAAATATATACTAAATGTACCTGTAAAGACAGTTATATTTCTTTTATATATTAACTCTCATTTATCAATAATGAAATTAATCTACCTTATTATTTTGCTGTTTTTTAGTATTGGAGGATGATTCTGGGATTCTTTCCAACCACCTATATGTTTGAGCACCTCCAATACCTGTGGTCTTTCTTACATAGTAAGTAATTTATGAGTATGTCAAACAGCATAGTCTTCAGCACAGATTTTTCAGAAATAAAAAGAGAACAAATAAAGGCTTTGTCAGGCTCATCAGTTTGTTTTCATATCAAGTTTGATGCTCAAAGGTAAACTAAATATGCACTCCTCAAGAGTGCACTTCAGTTTTTTATATTCTCCTTCAAAAGGCACTTTCATCTTGCACACTTAATTTTCATCTGTTCTTGCCAACAAAGCAGATATTATAATCTGGATAATTTAAAGAAGTTAGATGGGAAGTGGCAGAACAAGACTTCAGAATTCCCCTGATAATAGAACTAGAAGAGTTTATTATTTTCCTTTTTCTGATACAGCCCCAAACTATCATGAAACAATGCATAATACACTTTGGCCAAATACCTTTGTGTGAGAGTTCAGGGACCCAAGTCATTAACCTGCAACGTTTTTATTGCCTTAAGGCAGTAGAGCCTCTATGTTAGTTGTCCATTTTCTTATACAGGAACTGAGGTTCAATGGATGTAGGGAAAGTACCTTGTGAAACTCTTCCACTACCCCATGGATACTTTGCACTGTGATTATACGCCTTGGAAGAGCATTTTGTGGGCACAGATCAAACTTAACTTTTACACTGCAGACCTCCCAACATAAACTGTACTTCCCAAGAGTTTCTGCATTATTTTATCACCTTCTGAATGGCTCCACATGTCGGAGAAGCTGCTTGAGCAGCTAAGCCCTCTAACTTCTACAATAGAGCTGCCTAGTCATGGCAGAAATGGCACCATGTTTGTTGTTAACCAGGCTCATTTCCAAGGGGATAGAGAACTACTGACAAGCAGTTATGGCTAATACTAAACATTACTATTTGATTCTGAAATGTAACATATTAGCTGTTAAGAGTATTCAAGAGCAAAATAAGAAGTCCAGATATTTTACAACTTCATGACATGTTTAAAGAAAAAGACTTGCTTTTTAAAGTTAATCTGGTATCCTTATAAAACTTTTGATCAGAAATATTTAATTTTATAAGGCTGAGAGAAGAACTATGTGTATTACTCATGTCTTACACATGGTTTAGTTAATCCATATGTGATCAGCATAGAGCAAAAGAAGAGAACAACAGTAGAAAAGAGAATATGGATTGCTTAAAATTTAGCACTATAACCAGCTTTTAGTAGCAAGCACTCCAAAGGCATTAGGGAATCTCTAACCCTAGCAATAGTCAGATTTTCACTAGAAAAGCCCCAAGGAGCCTGATGATAAAGGACTGAAGTTATATGCAACTTGAAATCTGGCTATGCTCTGAGCAGAGTGGTCCAGATGACCCCCAGAGATCCCTTCCAAATGAAATTTTCTGTGGCTCTATGAACTAGCCTGTACATTCTATGCAGTATCTAGAGCAAAAGTAAAATAGGATGAGGGATCACATAGACTGAGTTAATTGTCCCACTAGCATGAAAGAAAGAACACTGCATCTCAGTGCCTCTAGATGTGTGTGACCTGAATTCAGCAGCCCTGCAGACTTTGAACAAACAGGTTTTGAACTGTCTGGCAGGCAGAACTATTTTCACTGCCCTTTATGAAGAAGATGGATAGTAACAAATAAAATTTGATGCAGAACTTTAGTATCTCTGTGTTTAGTGTTCTGTATACAAAGGGCCTTTTTTTTCTGCTTTGAAATTAAACTACAAACAAGGTATTTCAGCTGGAAAAATGAAAACATCTTTGAGATGTACAGGGTCTCATATAAGAGAGAATGATATGGTGACAGCAATGGAGCAGTATGATCAAGCAGTGTATCAGGTGAAAGATAATGTGTCCAAAATATCAAGTCAAATAAACAGCAGTTTTTATTCAACTTGACAGCTGTCAAATGAGTAGGATGAGGCAGTCAAGCAGCAACTTCATTGCAGTGGACAAAATAAAGAGGTCATGGATGGGCGTGATTCATCCTCCAGTTCAATAGAACTGGTTCAAGTTCCTAAACACCTTTTAGCGTGTTCATTTCATTTCCCTCAAGATATAAAAGAACTCCCTTTGAAAGCAACACTAAAGCCTATTCCCACTAGAAATCAGAGCTGGTCATTGTGGTAGTCAGGCAACAGTGAAGGCCAGTGCAGGGAGAAGGTGGTGTGGGCCCTTTTCCCAAAAGTTAAAGAGGGGCTTTGTCTTGTAATTCCCTGTTACTCTCGGCTTTAGACACAATGCCTTCTGAATCTCATCACACCCTTTGTTTCATAATCCAATTATATATAGCAAAAGTACTGTACTTGGGTTGTGTCAAGCTTCTGGAACAGTGCTTTTTCTTATATGTCCCAGTTCTAGTCCAGAAAGGAATTCTACACATCCACAAATTCTTTGGAAAGGGGAATGCTTAGCAAAGTAAAAAAAGTTTCCTGATGATATGGACTTAGAGGAGTAAAAATGAGGACTACATATGAATAATTTTAGAAAGACCTTGTGAGATGGGGCAATAAACTGGGAGTTGAAAATCAACTGGAATAATGTAAAATGCCACACAGGGGAAAATCTTCACCTTTAATCTCATATTTTACAAAATTTTAAAACGCCTTTGCTTGACAGCATATTTTTCTTTCAATTTAGCTTTGTATGGAGCTACAAGAAAAAAAAAAAAGATTTATGGAACATCTTCCTTCTTTTATGAAAGCTACTTTTGTGTTGGTCATAAAAGGGTTTATAAAGACAGAAAAAAAATGAAAATGGGAGGAAATATTAAAATAATAGCATCTCCAGAAATGTTACTGAGCTATTTACTTTAGTACCAGTAAACTTGTACTAAATATCTTTCCAGGGAGTCTGTGATTTTCAGTGCAGTTTTATTCCAGACCCAGCTTGGAAGACTTAACATATCATTGAATCACTGCAGGACTGTTTCTTGCATAGACATGGAAGCTGATCATAACACCAAGTATCTTCCACATGATGTTTTTTCTTTCTTAATCAATATGGATACTCTGTTAGGAGTATGGAATTACTGCAATGCCTACAGAAAAAAAACATTAGCTTCCTTATGATTTAAAGTACCTTGGGTAAAGGTGAGGTTCTACCTCTATTATAGCAAATAAAAGGTTTATTACCAATAAAAAAGTGTGTCAGTATTAGTTATTGGAGACAATATGAAATACTCTGGCACAAAAGAAAGGACTAAAATTTTTATTTAAGCTATTTCAAAATTTTATTTAACCTATTTCAAAATTACATGGATACATAGGATACATGGTGCATTAAGGGTGCAGATAGAGCAGTTGTGATAGAAAAGGCTGGAAGTATTTTCACACCCTAGTTTTTTAATGAATATTTTTAATAATTAATTAATAATAATGGTGGTTGTGTAAACTGTCAGTAAGATGACCAAAAAGTTAATTTATAAAATGCAACTTCATATGGTAGATGACCAATATCCTGTTCATAAAACTAGTATGAAATTGAACCTTTTCCTAGTCAAACAAGAAATTCCCATTGGAATATTAATTATGACCTTTGATGAATCAGTGTTACAAGGTGAACTACTTTCAGGGTGGAAATATTAGCATTACAGTGCATGATACAAACATGATGGATTACAACTATCCTTCAGCCTTGAAATTTCAGGTTCTGAAAAAGCAGTTTGCTCACAATGAATTCTAAGCACAAGGCTGCAGCTATTAAGCCAGCACAGCTAAATTGAGACAAAGGACTTGAGCCAAATTGCACTGTTTCACTTGACAAATCAAGATTGTCAGAATTTAGTGTCTTACAGATCACATTGAACAGCATAATTGGTTTTGGCACTGTCTTTGTGGATATTTAACTTAATTTTAAAAATTTTTTTACTGACCTTTCTTTTAAATATTTTGCAATGCTTTTTTTTGCTAGTTTTCAATGAAAAGAAAAAAAAATATAAAGGAGAATTAGAGCTGCAAAACCTTTTGTAAGAATTTTAAATAATGGTTTGAAGGGAAGGAGTTTGCTGCTGCATCAGTACCCAAAACTTCTTTGATAACTTTGTCAAGAGACTGCTCTACAACCCACTATAGAAACTTGCAAGCACAGTATAAGAGTTGAAAGAAAGTAACAGTTGGAAAATAGCAAAATTCTACAGTGAAAGCATGGTGTTTACATCCCACTGAAATGCTATTGAGCCAAGTAATGGGGAGAGCAATTATGTCTTTTTTTCTACTCCATTACAGAAAATATGCTATACCAAATTTGTACTAGAAGTAAACAAGCATTACAAATAAATTCTTCTTCATGAGTTGCAAACTGTAAAGTGCAGAGCATGCAAGATATGCTCCACTGTAAGTCTGTCAGTTTATGCTGGTTATACAAGTTATATGCAGCAAAGTGAGCCATGGATGTGAAGAGCTGGATGGAATTTCATAAACAATTTTGATTTATAGCTGTGTAGATAAAAAGAAAAAAAAAAGAAGAAAGAAAAGCAAGCAGTTTTCTTTATTTTTCATGTAATTCTGGTTGGTTTAACTGGCCAAACACCAAACACCTGTATAATTTTAAACTGGCTCCTATTTACTTGCAACTCGCCAAACACAATAAGGGACTGTAGGCAGGTGGGAGAGGAGGGTAATATTCTGTTCAGAATATGTTAGAAAGACTGGTGAAACCTCCAGCATTCCTGTTCAGAGAAGTACAATATTTTGCTTCCAGAAAGTAGATGCTATTCCAACACACAGGAGTAGAAAACATAAGCAGCATGGTGAATCTCTCTTACACACCTTAAAATCTTGTTTCTGGTTTCTATGATGACCTTCATTCCGTATGGTATTTTAAATATTTTAAGATTTGTATGTAATCTTGATTTAATAGGATTTCTCTATCTTGTTAAATATTGATTAATTAATTCTATGTTTAAGTATTAGAAGCAGATATTTGACTGGCTTTGCTTATAAAAGCATCACTGTTAAAGAGAAAGCTATTTTAAGGCTCAGTTCTGTATAATTCCTGTGATTACTGTTCACTACCAGGAACAATGGATCTGTTTGGCTTCAGTGGATTTGTTCACTGTAGTTTGGATGACAAACCTTAAGAAAACATATTTGCAGCAACAGGCCCTCAGGATGTTTCAATTTTTATTGCCCGTCTGTAATGGTATTACAGTGACCTGCTAGGTTAGTGCAAACTTTGAAAAATAACTCTTTGGACATTCCAGTGTTTGCAGAGGAAATGTCTGTTTCAGAAGCCCGGAGCTATATGGATACTGCTTATTTTGGGAATAAAGTCCTTGGTGGATCAGTGCTCGGTACGGTGAGAAGAAAGATCAGGGATGCAATGCCTGCTCTGGAAAGGAACGTGGAAATAACCTTTTGCTCACATAAGATCTCATACTTTTGGAATCAGGGAATTTGGCGAAACGCATCTCACTTGCGGGGATAATCGGCGTCGGGATGCTGCGCTCTGCTCCGTGGCACGCCTTGCTTAGGTAACAAATACAGGATTTTCCAGCCCAGCCGCAGCCCCTCGGCCGCCGGGTGCCTGGACCCGCAGCGTTTGGCGCATGAACCCCAAGCGGCCGCTCGGTGCCCGGGCGAGGAGAAGCCGCCAGCCTTTCCCGGGACGGGACGCGGGGCTGGGCCGGCCCTCACGGCGGGCGGCGGCGGCGGGGGCGGCGGCGGCGGCGGGCGCGGCTGTCCCGCCTGAGGCCGTTCCCGCCCTGGCGCGGCGGCAGCGGCGGAGCGCCCTGAGGGCGGCGGGAGGAGCCTGGCCCGCGCCTCCCGGTTTCCAGGCGGGCAGTCCCTCCAGTCCCTTGCCCCGAGCTCTGAGGGCAGGGGAGCCGGGCACTCCGAGCCCCGGGAGGAGGCGGGGGAGGCAGCTTGGCTGCGGGGAACCCCTCGCCCCCGAGGGATGCTCTGCCGGCCAGTGCCTCTCGGCGGGAGCGGGGCTCTCGGGTAAACACTGCGAAGGCTGAAAAGGAAAGCTTACAAGCGGTTATACACACCGAGAGGGACAGACGGCTGCCTTCACACGTAATTCCCAGGGGAGGGAGGAGGTGGGTGACTGCCAAGAGGGAAACCACCTCGGCGACGGGACAGGAGGGAGGGAGCGAGGGAACCCCTCAGGGAGAGTCAGAGCAGCCTGAAGGGAGGCGGAAAAGCCCCGAACGCGAGGATTCATTTCACAGGTATACCCCTCAGCCACCGTGCTCCCTGCCAAAGTAGATTTTCCCGTGTCATTAAAAAAAGTAAATCTATCAAGTTAGGAACAGTACGTGGTTACCGAAACTTGCAGTCCTGGTTAAGAAAATTAGTTATCTTAATTATGTAGTTAATGAAAGGTTTTGAACGTGTTCCAGTCGTCTCTCAGGTGTCAGCTCTGCGCTGTGACTGGGTTCTTCAGAGACATTGTCGAGGCAGGCTGATACAAGTGTGATAAATCCTCTCAATAACTATAGAGAATTTAATTCAAATTATGTTCTTCACACAAGGCAGATCGCTTTTTAAATTAAGTTGATGAGTACATTTACCTTGAAGAAACATGTGCTAAACATCACCAGTACCAGGACATTTAACAACCCAGACTTGTGCCTGCAACAGCAGCACCTCTTTGCATATGAGAATAAAACCTGATACAGTGTTTTGGAATACCCAAGAGCTTTTGGTAAACTTTCCTACAGTTGCACTTTACAACTTGGCACATAGCGAAGACAAGAGGGGAAATTTCTTTTAGCAATTAAAATTTTAAGAGTTTGAAAAGGTCTAATCTCAGATTTAGAGGATTTAATCAGTGGTTATTACTTTCTTTGTATTTGTTTTTAGTATCCAGGATATTTTTTTGGCAAAAATACTATGCAACAAATGCATTAGAAAAGGCAATTCATCTCCTTAACTTGTCATAATATCAAAATATCCATTCTATTTTTACAAAAATCCACAACTTTAATAAACCATTTTTTAAAAAAAGTTCTAGATCATGGCTTTAAATGTTATTCAGTGATCCTGCCTTTATCTCAGGTCTGTAATGTATATATAGCAAATATAAATGTTGCAATAGATTCTATAGATTATAGAATTACTGATTTTTTTTTTCTTACAGAGTATGGAAGTCATTAAGGTACAATTTATGCCTAAAACTTTAATATTTTTAGCTTTCAGGACTGTCTCTGCGAATATAGTACTTATTTCTGTGAGCATGAAAAGTACATATTCCAAAAGATCTTTATCTGCATCACCAAATGAAACTGAATGTTACCTTTATGCAAAGAGAAACAAAGCAGAAAGTGATCAAGAAATCAGAGAGAAAGAGGATCAACAAAAGCTAGAACAAAGCAGACATTGTGGGAGCAAGGACCAAATATCACCACATGAATTCCTCTATTTGTCAGAAAGACAAAACAACTGGGCATTAGAAAAACAGAGTTGTGATATAGCAAGGAAAACTTGTATGAGAGAGTTTTTCAGTTCTAAGGCTTGTTGTAATGAATCAGCATGTAAAGTATCAGCAAATGAAGTGTTCACCAAAAAATGGAGTCCTGAAAATGAAGACCAAAGTCCTGTAGAAGATGACATTTCCATGAATGTAGGTGGACAGCCCTTTGAAACGGAGCTGCTCAATGTGTTGAGCACTGCTGACACATGTCAAAATCTACCGGTACTAAACCCACCCCAAGTGCAGCAGAACAACAGTATAGAACGAAATAATAAAAGAAATGAGGATAACGAGCTCAAACAAAACTCTTCAGTTACATCATTAAACAGACACATGTTTCAGACAGAATTGTTAAGTCAAAAGTCTGTCTCAAATAAAAAGTGGCAGCAGTACCAGCTTTTTCAAATTCCATTTCTGAGTGGAACAAGTTCTTTGTTTTCATGCATAGAAAATAAAAAAAGTAAATTTCTGAAAAATATATGTTCTTCAGAAGATAAAAATTATTTCAATTGTGATAAGGAAGCTACTGCAGAAGAAGCTAATAAAGAGAGAAATAATTCAATGTCTGTAATTCGAACATTGAAACCTCTTAAGAGTATACAACCACTGGAAATCCCTAATTTTCAATTTCCTAGGATTTCAAATAAAATAAATTGTAAACAATCATCAACTAACTTTAGGGAAACAGACTGGAAGAATTTTGAAGGTGAACCATCTTTAATGGACTCTAAACAGATAGACTGTGTGCAAAAAATATCAGAGATAAGGAAAGAAAAAATCCACAATGATAAAAGCAGTGTAAAGGCTTCAACTGTTGGTTTTGAATTTAAAGAAAATAATTGCCCATCAATTAACAAAGAGGAGCACAGCACTTTGGCAGAAGAAGAAGTATCTGGAATTTTTTTCAGATGCAACAGCACTGACATTGAATATAATAAAATATTTGCTGAAAATTACTTCAAAGATAAAATAATGGAGAATTCAGACAGTGATGATGACCAGAAGTCAAAGATTCACATTTACATTAGTCCTAAAAATGTTCAGAATAAGAAATGTGTCAGCTCTAATGATCTTTTGCAGAGAAGGAGGAGGAAGAGCACTAATGAGAATGCAGGAATGTTTCATATGCAGATGAGTATTCCAGTAAAAACAGAAGCATTCGAGAAAAATAAGTTCAACTTACACTGTGGTGTGCATGATTCCAACAGGGCTATTTGCTTGTACGAAGCAGAATCAAAACTCTCCACAAAGGAAATACTTGATTTCCAAAAATATGTAACAAAAAATATTACATTTAAAAGTAATTGTCCTTGCATTATTGTGCAGGATTTTCCAGATAAGAGAGCAAGTTGCAATGCATTGATGGGGAAGGAAATGCTAAAATTAAAGTTTTCATTTCAAAACATGTTTGGATGGGTCAGGATGTGGACGGAGTCTTTCCATGAAGATATGCCCACGTGTCAGGATGACAGTGTTAAACCTTGGTCTCATTGCTGTGACACATTAAAAAAGCAGTGTGATGCTCAAGAGCCAGTAAAAAGCACTATAAATAGGAACCACAATGATAAAATATTCATGTGTTTGCTGGCTGTTGTTTCAAAGCCTCTGAAGGTGGAGGTACTAAAGAAAATGCTTGCTTCCTTTGTCAGTAGCACAAATACTATATTGACAACTGAGGGGAAGTCTGTGCGAGGAGAGAAACAGTCCTTATGTGGCAGAAAGCAAAATCAGTTAAACTCATGCACAGATAATTCTTGGAGGCAGTCCACGGGATTTCTTAATGAAAATGAAACTTATCCAGGATTTTTCAGTTCTAAGGTTGTGGAAAGCATTGATTTTGAGTTGCATAATGGATGGCAGAGAAGATGCTTTTATAGAACTTCAGGTGAAGAAGAGTACGCTTTCCTTCAAAGAGGTGCCTCCTTTCATAACCAAAAAAGCAGATTATGTAAGGGAAAACATGTCAGGAAACACCACCTCTTATCCAGAGAGAGTGAAGGGTTTACCACTGATTTGAGGTCAGTCAGTCACAAAAACTGTATGAAAAAGCAAATTTTACCTGCTAAATACCTTATCTTGCTGCAGAGCTCTTCTAATAGTTCGTCACTACACAGGATCTATTGCTGCAATACCATAAAAGTACAGTATCTGATAGGAGCCAATCTTAGATACCAGAGTTACTTTTCTGCTCATTCACAGCCGAAATTTGAAAAATTACATAAGAAAAGTACAGATCAGGAAATACCAGTAAATACCCTAAAGCAGGAGAAGAACAAACCAAGCATAAAGCTTAATAGTTCTTTTAATGTAGAATTATTTAAAACTATCCCTTTTGTTTTATATGAAAATAAGAAACACAAAACAACTGGATATAGAAATGGCATAATTTCTACAAATGAAGTCACTAATGAAATAGCATATACCATGAAAAAATATTTGGGTAACTCTAGTTATATAAATGCTGATGAAAAAGAATGTGTTAATCCAAAAGAGTTGCAAATGAATTGTCACGACCTTCTTTATAAAAAATCTTTTTCTATTTTTGACACATATGAAAAAATTCCCCTAGCCACTGATTCTGAAGACTTTGACCAGATCCCACTTGTAAAGCAAGACAGTTCTATGCAAAAAAAGTTTTGTGAAGAAAGTGCAGTCACTGGTTCAAAAGAAATTCAGTGTTTGCCTGTTGAATCAAACAATGTCTCAATTCTATCTGAGCAGCTAAAAGCAACCACAGAAGAATATACTTATTTCCTGTTGCTAGATAGACAAATAAACAAACATGAGAATTGCAAAGACTTAAGTACTTGTAGCCCACATCCAGCAAATAAAAAAGTAGACGACCAAAATACTTATTTATTTTCTGAAAATTTATTTCCTAGTTCCTCAAATGTTTATCAGTCTGTCACTTTGCCACTGGATAGCAGCTCATTTGTCAACAGAGAAATAAGTGAAGATGGGCCCTGCAGGAATTCCTCAAGTGCAGACAAACAAAAGGCAAGTGAAACAACTCCTGCCATGGTACAGTATCTATCCACGGGCAGTCCTGCCGTGGCAGATACACACTTGCAATTAGCAGCCAAAGAAACGGCTCCGTTTGCTTTACAAGGCCACGAACAGATGAATAAGATAGGCAGTTCAGAGCCAGCAACTTTGAAACAACATCTTGAATATGTAAAAGGACAGGAAGAGAGGACTTATGAACAAATGCATGTAACTAATGAAAGTCAATGTAAGACTGTAATTAATTACTTGATTATGTCATATTCAGAAGAGAAATCTAAAACATTCATTGCTGCAGAAGAGGAATTAAAAATGCCTTCATCCATAATGAACAATGGATGTCTTGAAGATGTAGAAGATAAGTATTTACCCCTAGAAAATAAAATCACACACGAATTTGAACTGAAGAGAAAATTTGATTTAGTGCTAGAAGAGCTACATATGTTTCATGAAATTAGCAAAGAAAATGTAAACACTTTATCTAGTTTGGAAACAAACTTGCCCAACACTTCCTGCGAATTAAGTAATGCTGAGGGAATAGATGAAAACATGGCAAGGGATTCTCAAAGGAAAATGCATATTTCTTCTCCAATCTGTGGTACCACAAAAGAAAAACACATGACTGACATTAATGAGAGTTCATTGCATGAAAGGACATTGAATGAAAACGAAGACCAGCAAGTATCTAAGGAATATTCTATTTCAAGAATGTTAAGCAAAGACTTGCTGCACTCTCCTGCAGAAGGTAAACACATGGAATTACTTTTTTATGTGATTAAGGAAATTTAAATTTTAGGCAATATTTGATTTGCTTTAAAGGTATATTTCTCAACTCAAATAATTTCATGTTTTCATGGCATTCAGAATTTGGTGGATAAATGTACTTGCTTATGAATAGCCAAAACCAAAAACTCCAACACTACTGCACACTGTGCTGTAACAGGTGCAGCTCAGAATTCAGCTGGTCAGCTCCAGGCTTGCTGAAACCTCCATTAATGCACATTCTGTTTCAGATCATTCATTTTGTCTGATTTCATCACAATGAGTCCTAAATTCCCTAAAAGAGTCAAATACCACATTGAGATGCGCACTCAAAGAGAGAAAAAGTCTCAACTAAAACATGATACAATGTTTACAAAGGAGAAAACTGTTTCCTTTCACTGCTAACATGGACTCACTCATGGAATAGTTTGGGTTGGAACTGCAACAAACAGGGTCATCTGCAAGTAGATCAGATAGCTCAGAGCCCTGTCCAACCTGATCTTGAATATAACTATATAACTCATACAACTTATATAAATATAGTTATCTTTGTTCAAAATTTAGATGCTGCTGGTTTTATCACTTTCAATTTTTTTTTACCCAGAGAAGATCAATCCCTATTACAAATTGGATGTGGAGAAATATGATTCATAAGATTTCTTAGAGTCATAAAACTCTAATACTCCTACCCCTTTTGCTAGATAATCAAGAGGTATTTAATGAGTTGAGGCAGGACACTGGGAAGAAAACCCGGTGAATGCTCTATCTTCTTGTATAAATATCTCAAAAGTGATAAGTAAATTATTCAAAAAAAAAAAAAAAAAAACCAAAAAAAAAAACCTCTTCAAACTGTGTATTTGTCAGATTTTGGACCTGAAATTCAGTTTGCAGAAGTGATGAGTTCTCACAGCTGCAAACAAAGTTGCTGAGGTTTATGCTTTGGTCATATTTGGTAAATTACCTGATGAAAGTGCAACTATCTCAAAATTGTCATCAGAGCTAAATTTCTCAGTGGTATGGATCTACATTTAAAAAGTGAACATTTCAGAGGGATTATGAAAGTAAGTAGTGTCTGGGAAGAAATTGTTAAAGTGTCACAGAAAAACCACAGAAGGAATTCTGTTCAGTAGAGCTTTAACAACATAATGTGCTGCAAGTTGCACCTGGATGCCTTGCAGAGCATGAAAACTTAACAGATACTGGGAAAATGGCTCAGCAAGTGATCACTTTTCTGCCTAAGCCTGGAATAAGAAGATCCAAGTGGAACTTCATGAGGTGTAGAAGCAACTTTTTGCAAGCCTCTGAGAATGACTTTGTGGCTTTGTTTACATTACCTATAGTGTGCACATACATGTTTTAATCAAATCAACAGAACCACAAAATAATCACTAGATGAAACAAAAGAAATAATTTGTTTCTAATAATCAAATAAAAAAACTTAATTTTTTTTTGTTTTGTTTTTGTTTTAACACTATTTAGGTGCAGTCTATAGAAATCCATACACATGGAATCCAGCTTTTTTACCTGGCACACTATTTAAGGAACAAAGCTATAATTTACAGAAAGAAGGAGGTAATAGTTACATTATTCTGCAATTTATACCACAAATCCCAGTGCTAATAGACTTACTTCTCAAACATTTGTATTTTTTTCTTCCCTTTTTATTTCTATTTCTATCTCTATCTCTATCTCTATCTCTATCTCTATCTCTATCTCTCTCTATCTCTATCTCTATCTCTATCTCTATCTCTATCTCTATCTCTATAGAAATCACATTTGGTTTAGTTGTAGGTTACTAGAAAAGTGTCCTGTGTTCAGCTTGGTTCACAGAACAAGCCATACTGATGAGTATTTTTGTTCATTGGAGAGAAGAAAAGAATTTTAACAACATGGGGTTTCCTTTGCTGCTTATTTTGGAGCCATTTGGAACAAACATCTTTGGGCCTTCAATCATTGTAATGCAGCCAAGATATACTACATGATTCATTATTTTTTTTTTTTAAGATCTGCAGTTTTGTACCCATCGTGGAAAGAAATCCAGAAGGATATTGTAAAGTGATCTTTTAGGATTTCACAAAGCATGTTTTGGCAGTTTTCCAACATATGGAAACATTTGGTTTATTCTGAAATGAAATTCTAAAACTTTGTCAAGGAAAGGCTATAAATAAACTTCTGCTTTACTTAGTGAAATCATCTACTGCTATTTTGACTTTTATCCCCCATTGCATCTCTTAAAACTGTTGAACAACTTTCTGGTTTGAGAATTTAGAACCTTTTTCCTTTACTCAGGACATTATGGAAAGTAAAGAGACTGAAAAACATTGACAGATGAACTCTGGTGTTCTTTTCACCTATATTTTATTGAAGTTGTGTCATCTTGTGAAAATATTTCACATACCTGATGCAAAATGTTACAGAAATTTCTGCTTTACTTCTTTGCTCTTTGTCACTACTCTCTAAGATTTTATATTTTTTGTGATGTGGATTTGAGTTTCTGACTTACATAATAGGTATTGTTATGGTTTAGGGAAATTCAGGTTCCAGAATGCTGTATTGTACATAACACACCAAGGGGGTTGATATGAATATCTTCTTGGAAGTCTTGTTTAGATGAGATTGAGGCTTGCTAAGTGAAACATTATTCCCCCCATGACTGAACCTGGATGTTTTTTCCTTTTCTCCTTTCCCTGTTATTTTGTGCTGCAGGGTCAAAGACAAAGTAAATTGGATGTTTTCTCCATTGCTGTTATGTCTATTTCCTTTATATTGCTTCATCGTGTTCTCTAAAGTCCCATCTGAGCTTTCCCAGAAATGTTTGGGAAGACACCTTAGCAATGAGTATTTCCTTTTTTCAACCATGGTTGCTGACAAATTGTGCAAGTTGTTAGGGCAGTGGCATATTTCTAGGGCATTTTATACCTTTTTTTTTCAATGTTTTGTCAGAATCAACAGGAATCTAGAATTCTTCCAGTAGAAGAACCTGAAAAAATTGAATGTTCCCCTCATCATCCTTCTCAGTTGATGGCAAATAGGAAACTGTTGAGTATCGTCTTTACTTGAGGAGTTACATTGGCAGACAGTTCTCTTCCATTTACACTGAAAGTTGTCTTGGAGGTTATTCTGAAATCAGGTTTTGTCAGGGGAAATACGATACTTACTGTACTGATAGGAGTTAATGTCAGAAGCTATGCTGATGTGTGACTGTCTCCCTCTGTTTTTCAGTAGGATTCTGAGCCATCGCATCTTGTCACAGAACCTGTGACTGCTTTGGAAAGGAGATACCTAGGTGGGACAAGAAGATTCATACCCCAGGAGCTTTACAGTTTACTGTGACTATCAGCCATGCTTTCCTGGCTACTTATAAACCCACAACACTGACCAACTTTCAGTGCATGCCTTTCCTCTTCTAGCTGGCTCTTAAAACTCTTAGAAAAGACATAGCAGCACTGCTGCCTTATCATTGACTTAAGAATGGAACTTTGGGATTTTTTTCTCATCCCACCATTAAAAATTCTTGTAAAAGGCTTAGGAAAACTTTTCTCTCCCTTTACTAGGATACCAGCTGAATACCTAAAACTCTTATACACACAATTTGATGTTCTAGCTAACTGCTCAGTGCTTCATCATTTTATAGAATGATGAAGAACAGAACTAGAAAAGATCTTGAGAAATTTGACCCCATCTTCTTCCAGATGAATCATTGTGCTAATCTCTAGTTAACAAGGTCATGGGTATTCTATTCTGCCCCAGTATTATTTTATGCAAAACTGAACTTCTAAAGGACGACTGATACTACACTGATCAGTGCTAGAGATCACTACATGGTGCATACCTTACGTAATAGAATGTGGAACAGAAAATAGACATCCTCCTATCCTGCTTTATGTAAAATGAGAGGCACAGGGCAAGACATCAGACTAATTGTGAGTATTAAAGTGTATCCACCTCAGCTTGTCCACTCTGTCCCAAAATGTTAATTTGTATCAAATTGTGAGCCTTTGCAGTCTGTTAGGAAAGTTATGTAATGTTGGGCTGAGGATTATTCTAATCAGAAGGAATCTGCACATGACCCAGACGCAAGCATTTCCTTCTCAGCCCAAAAGAATCGGTTAGATGCTCTGCAGCAGAGTGGAGGTGGGATAGGATGAAATAAAGGATTGCTTAATTAATATTGGTCTAATTTTATATATTGTCAGGACGTCATTCTTGTCTATATCATACAGAATTCTGGGCCTGCTTTCATTTTTTATTCTTTCTTTTAAATATAGGATACTTTTTGTCTCATGATGTCATAAGAGTACAGCCTCTTAAAACATGCAAGGGCCCCATCAGGATTGGGCTTTCAAGAAAGGCTCGGCCAAAGAAGCTTCATCCTTATCTGAAGTGACTTCCTAGATTCTTTTACCAAACATCACATCTGGGATCACTCTGCTTGAAAACTCTTGAAATGTTTTAACGTTAATATTTTTGGTACTTTGATCTTTGTGGTTTAAGGGGGTTTTAGATATTAATATTTCAGTATTTGCTAGTAATTTATTTAGGAATACTCCTGTGTATACTTGATAGCAAAGGGATTTATAATGAATGTTTACTAGTAGAAGTTTTAATGGAAGGGTGAATTCCTTTTAAAGTTTATGTAATATTAATAAAATCTGTCATGTATTTTTCATCTATTAAAATATACAGTTGAAATTTTCTGTCACATCCACACATCCTTAGAATCCTCGGTGTGTTTATGTAGTTTTAAAAACTCAGTATTTTTAAAGAGATTTCTTACAAATGTTTAGAGTGATGTAGAAGAGCATTTCAGGAAGTTAAGTTTAGATTGCTAAAAGGAAGATTATGTTTTAGGCTTCAGTGACAGTTTCCTCCGAGGTACTTCCAGTTCTATGTACTTGTCCCATTAGACAAAGAATTGGAATAAATCTATAAATGCTACAGACATCTTGTCTCATTCTGAGGGTACTGATTGCATTGCATATATGATGGAGACAAAATAATAGCGCATAAATTCTGGAGGTTATATATCTTGAGAAATGGGGACACTTGGAATTCTCTGAAGCATGCAGATTTTGGTTAGGGACATCTAATTGTTATTATACTGATATTTTTGTTATAAAGAATAGAGGCAGTTTCAACTGAATAAAAGCACAAAAAGAAACAAACCTGAGTGAAGTCTGAAAAAAATTCCTGAAGTGTCAGAACAAGAGTAATCTAATAACAGGCATTCAGAAAAAAGCTTTAGGCCATCTGTGATTGCACAGAGTTTTTTAGACAGAGAATATTTCACCCTGCAGTGGATAAGAGAGTATTCCAGGATAAAAAGTGTTACAGAACAGTGATGGAATGATGATAAACCCCAACAAAAATAATAATACGTGGTTGCAGCTGACACAAAGAAACTGAGCAAGCTGAATTGATAGGGAATTTATCTGCAAATAAAATTTTTTCTAGAATTTTTATAGAATCTCTAGCACCAGTGCAAAGACTAATTAACTTTAAATTTTAATTTCTTTAGCAGCAACATTCAGACTATATCATACATAACAGTAAGCATATCAGTATGTTTATGTTCTAAGGATCTCCGTAAGAAAAAAAGTTCAGTCCACAATATTGAGGGAAATCAATGAACTAATAAAATCTAGAAAAAGAGTTATAATTTGGTTCATAGTTCCTTTTGTATGAAATAGTAAGAATCTCAGACGAAAATTTGTTTCTAGGAACAGCTGGTTCTAAAATAAGAGTTTCTAAATGAATCTGTTAACCACAGATTGTCCAAAACGTACAGTAAATGGTGTGCACCTGGTTTAAATTTTTATTTAAATTTAATGTAATTTTAAACAACAAAAGTTGCTAACTTTCCCGCTAAAAATTTGGTGATGCAAATGTAAAACTGTACATACTGATTGAAAGCATAGTTCTGGACAATACATTATCCTTCATCAGAGTAACTAATTTATGGAAAAGTTTAAAAGGGCTAAACCAATGGACAAATGGGACACATGTTCAGAAGCAGCTCCTAGAAGGGCAGGGGCATTAGACAACTCCCTTGGGAGTATGCAAATGAGGCAGCAACTGGACAGGAATTGATGGATGGATGGATGGATGGATGGATGGATGGATGGATGGATGGATGGATGGATGACTTTTCCACCTTCACCATCAGCAGCAGACATCTCTGTCTCAGAGAGGGTAACTTGGCAAGGTGACACTGTGTAGCTGCTTGAGGGCCTATGGTGGATAGCAAACTCTAAATATCAGCTGAGGGTTGGTAGAGGCATTCTGGTTTCTCAGTGCTTTGCAAGAAGTATCAACTTAAGTTTCCCTGGATCCCAGCAAGAAGAAGCTGATCATAAATCTTTAGGTGAGTGGTGTTTATTGTGTGCTGGCACAGAGCAAGGGGAGCTGGTCTATAGGCATTGGAATGTCCCCCTGGAGTTTTGTCTTCACACATGGGCAAACAGTTTTTGAGTGCTGCTAGATATGAACTGGTTGCCAGGCACAGTGTCTTATCAATAGCTCATTTAGGTCATATTTCTAACGGTTGATGTTTAAAGTAGAAGGATTTCTTAAGATTTGGGAGATATACTTCTGCATTTACAACCCGCTGTGTCCAACAGACCCAAGAAAATGGCCTTTGTCATTCTGAAATCAGTAACTTCAATACAAACTCATGTATGGAGATGATGTGACCCCACTAAAGCGTACTTGTAATGAACATTCAAATAGATAGTTCTGAAACTGAAGGATAACCTGTTCCTTGAAATATTTAGGCATTTTTTTCTGCCTTATAGTAAAATTTCGGATGCCTGGAAACTCATATTAGTCTAAAATCTGCAGCAATTAATATTATAGAAAGATTCTATGAAATTACCTCAGCATTGTTTATACAGCTAATCATGTTTCCACTGAGGAACATTTTTGCCTATTATTAAATCAATGAACTCACCTGTTTTTTTTTAAATATGTCTGTTTGTCTGATGCTTATATAAGAAAATACTATAATGCTATTGTCTGCAGAAGACAGAGGTACACAGGCTACTTTTTCAAGAGATAAAGTCTTAATTCACTGAATTTATACTCAGTGGCAAACTCCCTTGTGGTTGATGGTGCAGCTTGTGCAAGAATGTCCCCAAATATCCTGGAAAAAATTCTGGAAAATACCCAAAACCAAAAACCCAGACAATAAGTCAAACGAAACAACAAAAATTGGACCACGCAGAGAAGTAGAATAGTCCAGCTGAGATATTATGTAAACCTTATGTCTGACTGCTCATTCAGCTGGAGAGAGCTGCTAACAACATGCCCTCATCTTAAATAACAGAGGAAGGGTTGGCACTGGGAATGCTGCCTGGCCTTCTGCCAGCTCCAGCTTCCCCAGCCACCGTCGGCGGGAATAGTTCAGGTACCTCGTCCTGCTGGGGAGCAGCACAAGAGCTCTCGACTGTGCAGCGATGGAAGCTGGTGCCATTCCAGGGACTTTGGGAATTGCACGGGAAAATGCCAAGCCAAGATCCCACCATATGTCTTTGCATATCTGATTGAAGCAATACGTATAGATTTTGAATTTTCCTGTTGCAGAAACTGTATCTGGTGATGTTTTTGAGTTAGCTAAACTTGCTAATGCTGTCTGTAACACAAATGCAGTTGTTAAGTGTCATTATACTTTAATAATTATGCAGGAAAGCTTAAATATAATTTCTGAATAATTTTGTATCAGCTGCTAGAACAATAGATATAGCTTGGGCTTGTTTAATACAAAAGGATTCAATTATAGCCTACTGAAAACCTTGAATTTCATTATATCTACCAATACATGTGATTTTTTAATAAATAGTAATTGAATGTATTTTTTGTCTGCCTTTTGAATGACTGGATGCAAAGATAAAACTGCTCTTCCCAGTATATTTTGGATAAATGTGGGTGATTCATAAGTGAATATAAGCAAGATTATTAAAATTCAGTTTAATAGCAACACCTGCATATAGAAATGTGGTTGTTTTCTCTATCAGGGCATTGAATTGAAACAGGTAATGAAGTCCTCTGACTCCTCCTACTGTTGGAAGACAGTTGCCAAACCAAAACAGATGATAAATTTCAAGGAAGCCTTTGCAGAAAGGGTTCAAATAACTGTATCTATCAAAAGGTTCTGCATTAAGGAAGATGGTGCCAAGGCATTTTGTGAATACACTTTACCAAGAAGCTTCATGTGGTTAGGGAGGAGTTCCACTTTTGGTCTTAAAATTCACATTCAATTTGGATTTTAATTTTCTGCTCCCAGCATGGACATCCCATCATTATTCCCATACACCGCTGGAGAATGTACCTGCTATTTTCCCCTAGCCAAGACACTGAGGTCACTTCACCTGCTGTGTTCCAGCTGAGCCAGAGGTAGAGCATTTCTAAACACAGTGTCAGGTAAATTAGAAGTACATTTTAAAAATATCAGGGAAAATGAAAAGTTAATTTTGTTTAAAATTATTTTTGTCAATAATGGTTCAGGTGAAAATGTAAATAAGGGCACTCATTTCAACATTTACAGTCAATGTGGTAGATGAATGGTTGATAGTTGTCTTTATGAACTACAGCAATTTAACAAGCTATGTTTAATTTTATGAGAAAAAATAGTCTATCATGATCTGATAAAATAATAAAAGTAAAGAGATGTTTGTTTTATAAAATATATGCTACCATGTGGTATTTGATCTGATTCAATGCTATCATAGAATTGTGTCCTCCATTATTTGAAATTTTCCCACTACAAGGCCCCTTCAATTATGAAAATATTTTTAGCTAGGAACTGTAGTGAAAATTCAATATAAATTATATTCAATGTATGCACTAAGAAAGACGCATAGAATAATCTGCTGTTCAAGCACTTTCTGTCAAAGCTTAAATATGCAGAAATATGCAAAACTGCACAAAAAAATGTGAAAAATAAATGCTTCAGCATGTATGTATATATATGTGTATATATATATATATTTTTATATATATATGCATGTGCATAACCTACCATATTTAAAGTATTATCAAAATATATATTCCTATTACCAATAGCATTTTGGAGCCTGTAACTCAACATATTGGCAATGATAGATATCAGAAATTGTAACAGATGTTATGGCTGCGAGTGGAGAGATGAGAAGCGGATTGAATTGACTTGGGAAACCCCAATCAATAAAGTAAGAAGGCCCTAAGGTGACCTGAATTGCCTTTAGGACAGAACTGTCTTTCTCCATTGATCAGTGGGGAGACTTAGGGGAAGCTTTGCCACAGTCAGGGTTCTCAATAGAGTGCAAGAGTTGAAAAATATTTTTCTCTCTTACTTGGACCTAAGGGTGGAAGAATTAGCTGTTTAAAGTGCTCTCTAGCATTGAAATTCTGTTATTCTTAGGTCTGCATTCAAGCAGCATCCAGGATCTTGATTCACAACTCACTGTTTACTGCACAATATTGCAACAATGACTTGGTTTCTGTCCCAGAGGTTTTGCAAGTAATTTTTTCAGTCTGTAAATTTACTTTTAGTTATTGCTTGTTCCTATGATATTTAAAGGAGGCAAAATGGAAAAAAAAAAGTTTTTAAAGAGAGAAATCTTTGGTTTATTTCTATGGTAGATAAAGAAATGTTTCAATTTTAAAATATCTCTGCTTATTTGGAGGAGGATGATGATGGCGTCATGAGTGAAGGGATGGATTACATGTATGCAACGGGCAGGGAACTGTCCCTGGCAAAAACAGTGTCCTATAAATAGTCAGGAGATGGAGTTTGAGTTAAATTCTTCTCATCCATTCCAAGCATTCTCACACTTTTTGGAGAAAACATGTCCTTGAGAAAGTGAATAATGTTTTATGTGCCATTTGGGCCAGCTTTTGTGTGCCTTATCCTACATATCAACTTGTTCTTCTTCATACCTCACTTTCTTCCCTCTCCTTAACTTCTTTTATGCTGGAATTTTCTGAGGTTCTTCCATTATGGTTGAAAGCAAATAGAGTCAGACTTTCCCACACTCAGCCTAGTTCCAGCAAAGCTTACCTGCCTGTGCTTGCCAAAGTTTTGAACTTACCTTGCTTGTGACACAGACGTGCACTAAAACTGAGCAGCTGCCATGAACTACCGGTCTTGTCCAATATTTTCGCTGTGACAGGGGCTCTTTGGCCATGTGTGTGTGGGGAATGGTCTCACTGTTCTTCCCTCACCACATTTCTGTAAGCCTGTGCTATCATGGGGGGTGCTGACTCACCAAACTTTGAGATGGTGAGCAGGAATGGTTCTAAAAAACAGTAGTGTTAGAAATCTTCATTTCCCAGGGACATGTGGAGTGTGATGGCCAAGGGAACTTGAACAAGATATTGATTTTGGAGCCATAATCATAAGGACAGTGTTGTGAGAATTAAATATAGCTCTGCTTTTGCTTCCTAAAAAGGGTTTGTGAGTATTTCTGTGCTTATTTCCTTTTATGTATATATATTTCTGTTTTACATGTATATTTTATTATTTGTTTTAAAAATCCCTGTTATTATCAATATATATGTAAAAAAAACTTTTGTGAAAAGGGAAAATTGTAGAAAAATATGTTTTGACATATTTTTAGAACAGGATCTCTATTGACATTTTTCAGAAGAGGATTTTTTTAAAAAGATGATAAAAGCTTGAATTATGCTTGCGTGCCACACTACACTGCTCTCTTTTATCCCATAGATTTAGTATGCTATTACTTGAAAATAATTACAGGGTACAAAGATTGGAGCCATGAGAAATGAACATTTGAAAAACATTTCAAGACTGTTCACAAAACTGAAGACACAGCTCACGACGTGTTCATCCTTGTGAAAATTCTTCCTTTGTAAGTGCTACCAAGGTCAATGTCATCTTCAATTCTTTAATGCACACTGTAATCGCAAACCATGCAGATTAGATCTGCCCAGAGCTATTCCTGTTTGTTCATCCAGCTTTTAAAAATACATGTTTGTGCTCTTCTATTAAAAAATTTTCATTTAAGAAATCAGCAGTCCAAGCTTGTATCAGGTCTTTCATTATATTCATTCTCCACCTACATTTCATTTTGTCCCAGAAATATATGCAAACAAGTTTCCAGCTGCACATTGCTGAATGTATTTTCACATTCAATAACAGCAGCATAATGTATTTCCTGCATTTTCCAGATAAGTTAATGAAATTAGATTATGGAGGGAATAAAAATAGTTCAATGTTAGGACTCATTATGGGAATCTTAACATTTACTAAAATGCTGAAGTAATAATATTGAACATAGAATTGTATTTTAATTGCTTTTATCTCTAGGATGAATCTTTACCTTCATGAACTATGTTATTAAGGGCACAAAGTAAACCCAAGTGCAGCAATATTTCATGCTGTCCAACTCATGTTATTAAAGCTCCTATTTTTCTGAAGCTTCCAAGGAAAGAGGGGGAGGAAAACAGGGGAAGGAGAGAGAAAATAGTCCCTCTTTGATATAATTTCTTAAATTGTGGAGTCAAATGTGAGGTTGTTTGTCTATTGAGAGATTTTAGGGTCAAATCTTGTACTATTTTTTTGTATCAAGCTGCTTTTCTCAAGCAAAGAAAATACTGGGAGAAAATATAAATCAGACTGACTCCTAGAGATCCTTAGGAGATCCCTTAGAGATTCCTAGGTCCTTATGGGTTCCTGGAGATACTTGTCTATATGTCAGGGAGGTATGTGATGCATCTGGGGCAATCACAAACAGGAGCAGTAGGAGCCTGTCAATGTTTTCACTAGAATTTGGACAGAGCCAGCAGTGGCTTTGCCTGTGGCAGTCTCTTCCAAAGAGCTCAGGAATGTCTCTGTAACAGCTGATGGACACTTTTGGACAATACAGGTGTAAAAATCTGTCATAAATATTAAAAACTTCTTCAGGAAAGTTGTGGTGTCAGGTTTTCTGTCATCATCAATTATTCTGAACTACCAAACTGTGTGATACTGGGCTTCTTCCCAACTTGAAAACACTAGATATTGTTTCACTGGCACGAAGACATCAGCATTTCAGGGAGATGGCTTCCCTTGATTGCGATGTTAGTAAGCAGTTCACTGTCTTCTGGCTTTCCTTTGGAAAAAACAGTGGATTTTTAAAAGTTTAAGCTATTATTTTCTTCTGTTTCCTGCTCACTCCTCTGTCCTTGCTGTGCTCATTGCTGCTGCTGGTCAAGCTGTGCCTGCCACTGCCTGTTGCCACTGCCAGGCTGTCTGTTGTGGCACTGGCTTTGGACCCATGGCAGGATGCTGGGTCTGTTGCTCCCACACTTGTCCCCCTGTTGCACTGTTGTAGCTCTCACAGTGGTTCTGTGAGTTACTGACAGCTTATGTCATACTGTTTCCTTATAGAAAAAGTGATCTCTCTTAAAGCTGTGCAATAAGCTGTTTTTTGATTGGTGGCTGAGCCAAAATTGAGAAGTATTGCCTGAGTTGAAGAGGGTTTTGTTGTTGTTTTTTTGTTTGGTTAGTTTTTAAATTTTTTCTTTTAGTAGTAGGCTTATTTATTTTTAGAGTTTTTCTCATAGCAATGGAGGACTGGAAAATAGTCATTGTGGATCAAGGAAAAATTAATTCAACATCAAGCACAACATTTTGTTTCCAGTGGAGATTGTGCTAACAAAAGTAAACAATATAATTACGGCACTAAAAGTTAAGCACCAGTTGCAAAACTGGCCAGGAATATTGCCCTCAGTGAGTATGCCCTCAGTGAGTAGTCAGGACATTTTCACAAAATGTGGGGGGCTTGAATTTAAATCCTCCCTCAAGAAACATCACTTCTTCACCTTCTGCCTGCCTGATGCATGTTCTAGATGTCACATTGCATGGGTGCA